TACTGCAACCTCATGCTCCGCCTTGCGGATGAGGTATTCGCGGCGATCGTGGAGAAATGCGGCATCGGCGGCATCTTGGAGCGCTGGGGAAGTGGCGATCTCCAAGGTGGGTTCAGGAGGAGGAGGACCAGGAGGAATGGGGGGTGGAGGGGGTTCGCCGGGGTGATTGGGTGCCGTGGGCTGGAGGGCTTGCGGGCGGCGGAGGAGGACGTCAAGGACGCAGTAGGGTCCGACGAATGCATCTTGGAGAACACGGCGGATGCTCCCGACGAAGGAATGCCAGTTGATCGCCGAGCGGTCCGCGGCAAGCTGAAGCTTGTCGACGGAGGAGGCGTCAATGGGAGGGGGGAGAGGGGGAGGAGTGGTAGCCATGAGGGGCGACGGCGGGTGGACCCGCGGCGGCCTCGAGGTGGACGGCGGCGGGTGGACCCGCGGCGGTCAAGTGGGAGGGCGACGGCGGGTGGACCCGCGGCAGCCGAGAGGGAGGAGGGGGGGGGGGCGGGGGGGGGGGGAGGGGGGGGGGTGCTGCTGCGGGGAGTGGAGTTCTTCTCCGGCTGCTGCTGCTGCTGCCGCTGCTGCCGCTGCTGCCGCTGCTGCCGCTGCTGCCGCTGCTGCTGCTGAGAGGGAGGAGGGGGGGGGGAGGGGAGGAGGGGGAGGAAGATGGTGGATGCAGCTGCTGCCGCTGCTATCGCTGCTCCTGATGCTGCCGCTGTTGCTGCTGTGGCTGCTGAGCTGTCCCGGCTGCTGCTGCGTGGGAGGAGAGGAGGAGGAAAGGGGGAGGGGGAGGGAGAACGCAGGTGTAGCTGTGGGCGAAGCTGTTGCTGCCAATGACGCTGCTGCTGCGGGATGAGGCGGCTGCTACGAGGAACGTTCGGCGGCGGGATGCGCGGGTGGCGACGAGGGAATCGTGGCGGCGGAATGAGCGAGCGGCGACGAGGAGGGCGCGGCGGAGGGATGCGCGGGCGGCGACGGGGAAGGCGCGGCGGTGGGATGCGCGGGCGGCGACGAGGAAGGCGCGGCGGCGGGATGCGCGGGCGGCGACGAGCAGGTCGCGGCGGTAGGATGCGGGGGCGGCGATTGTTAGGTCGCGGCGACGGGATGTGCGGGCGGCGACGAGCAGGTCGCGGCAGGAGGTCGCGCGGGCGGCGACTTTAGGTCGCGGCGGCAAGGGGTGCAGGCGGCGACGAGAAGGTCGCGGCGGCAAGGGGTGCAGGCGGCGACGAGAAGGTCGCGGCGGCGGGATGCGCAGGCGGCGACGCGAAGTCGCGGCGGCGGGTCGTGCAGGCGGCGACGCGAAGTCGCGGCGGCGGGTCGTGCAGGCGGCGACGCGAAGTCGCGGCGGCGGATCGTGCAGGCGGCGACGAGCGGGTCGCGGCGGCGGGATGCGTAGGCGGCGACGGGGGGTCGCGGCGATGGGGAGTGCAGGCGGCGACGCGAAGTCGCGGCGGCGGGACAGGAGGCGACGACGGGGCGTCGCGGCGGCGGGATGCGCAGGCGGCGCCGAGGAAGGCGCGGCGGCGGTGGGGGGAGGCGGCGACGCGACGTCGCGGCAGCGGGAGGGGCAGGCGACGACGCGGCGTCGCGGCGGAGGGATGCGCGGGCGACGCCGAAGTAGGCGCGGCGGCGGGAGGGAGACGGCGACGGGGGGTCGCGGCAGGGGGAGGAGGAGGCGGCGACGAGGCGTCGCGGCGGGATGTGCAGGCGGCGCCAGAGAAGGCGCGGCGGCGGAAAAAAGGGGGAGGGGGGGGGGGGGGGGGGAAGCGACGGTGTGTCGCGGCGACGGGGGGCGGTGATGCACTCGCGGCGGTGGGATCCGCAGGCGAGGAGGGCGCAATCACGGCGGAGGGAGGGGAGGGCGGCGACGACGTAGGTCGTGCCAAGGAGATGCTAGGTTGAGCCACACGTAGGGGGTTTGTGGCTGTGGGGTGGGCCCATGGGGAAGAAAAAACTTTGAGGGAGGGAGAGAAAAGGCTTAGGAACAACTAGCTCTATACCATGTGAAGATTGTGAATTGAACAAGTAATTAGATTAGAGGAACAACCTAACATACATAGTTGGAAGGGAAGGTTGGAAGGGAAGGATGAAAGTGACCATAGGTTGGGTTGACCTCACTTGGGGAAGTGAGGGAACCATAGGTCAAGTGGGTTGGGTTGCCCACACTTTGTAGAAGTGAGGCAACCCTAGGCCCACTTGGCTTGGGGTAACCTCAATTGTGGGAAGTGAGGTACCCACAAGTCAAGAGGGTTGCATTTGGGGGCTCCACCACAATTGGGTGGATTGGCACCCCAAAGTGCAAGACTACACCCAAAGTTGGGTGTAGTCCCAACCCAACTGTACACCACAATTGGTGTACAGTCACATGTGTTGGCATGCTACACAATATATATTTTAACACGCTGCACTCGGCTGCAATCACTCAACGCTGCTCTGGTGCCGGGGGTGACAGAAGTCTCCGCTCCGCTGCTGTTTCAAGGAGCCACGGCACTGAAGACCCTGGTGAGAGAAACGGCACTCGGGTGAGAGGAATGTATGTCACCGGTTAAAGGTGTGACTCCTTTGGCGCCCTCCTGTCGGTGCCTGGGGTGTCAGACGGCTCTGCTCCGCTCCTGTTCCAAGGAGCCATGGCACTGAAGGAAGACACTGGTGACAGAAACATAATAATTTCGGTGGAAGAAGCAACTTTTGAGCCATAGCTATTGTCACTCTCTATTGCCACTTTCTCTCCTCATCTTTCCCTCGTCCCATCCGATGCTCAACCAGAGCACACTACCAGATGCCGCGTTATTATCTCTCTCCTTATAGCCGTTCTCCATTGTCACTTTTTATTGCCTCTCCTCCCTCTTGTCTTATCAGGTGCTGAACCAGAGCCCGCTACCAGACGTCTCGTTATTGTCACTCTCCTCTCATTGTCACGGCCTGGAGGAGCTGGCATTGCATGGCTGCCCCAGGCTCACCAATGAAGTATGATACCTTCGGAAGGGGAAGGGGAGGGGAAGAGGAGGGTGGGGGTGGGGGGAAGGAGGAGTGCAAAATGTGTGGGGAGGGGATGGGGGGACCATGCTTGTTGTCCCTCTCTTCTCATTGTCACGCCCTGGAAGAGCTAGCACTGCACGGCTGACCCAGGCCCACCAATGAGGTGGGAAGACACAGAGGGTTGTCAAAGGGGGCAAGGGAAGTCCTTTATGAAAGGGTAAATGGCGCAGGCGTGAGAGGGTTGCAAGGTAGGATTGGCTTACTGCTCAGAAGCAGGTTGTAGCACCAGATTTCGTTCCACTCTAGTTTTGAGGCGCCTCAAAACGTGAGAGGGTTGCGAGGTAGCACCAGATTCCGTTCCACTCTATCCCACATAGAAGGCTGCTCAGAAGCAGCTTACTGCTCCCTAACTCTCTCATCTTCACGTTCCTCTCCCTCCTCTCCTAACCCTTGCTTTACTGCTTTCTCTCCATCCCATCTCCCCCACCCTCCAACCCCCCACAGGGTTTGAAAGCTCTTGCCACCTCCTGCCTTGCCCTCCGCTATCTCTCCCTCAGCTTCTGCGATCAAGTATCAGATGCCGGAATCATATCCATAGCCAACAGATGCCGCCACCTCATCAAGATTCGATTGGACGGCTGCCGCCAGCTGTCGAATCCCTGCGTCAGGGCTCTCTGCCGCCCAGCCTGGGCCCAGCAGGTTCGGCCGAAGCAGAGTCAGGTCCAGGGGTCAGGTCCGGGTGCCAGTGGCGAGGAGGTTATTCGTCTGCCCGGGGAGTATGCGGTCGCTCGATTGCGCTGCTTGAGCATGCAGAGCTGCCCGAAAATCTCGGATGATATTTTCGACCACCTGTTGGCTGCCCCTGCACTGAGATTTGTTGACATCGCCCGGGCAAGGTTGACCGAGTGGGCTATTCATTGCTTTCACAGCCGTCGACCTGAGGTGGAGCTATGCATTAGCGGAGTACCATATACTCCACCTGTAGATTATTAACCATAATACTATAAGCTCTTATGGTTTGTATTTGTAGCGGTGTACTTCTTATTCTGTTCAGCACATAGATCATCAGTGGTATCAAGGTGCCACGTTATTTCCAGCAGGGAAACAAATCATCGAGAGACACGCGGCAGCAATCCAAACCCGTTGATGTAACCCAGTCTGTCGCCGTCGCATCACTGCAATCTTGGTTAGGGAAAAGATCATACAGGGGCCGAACAGTGCCAGAGGGGTGATCAACCAGGGGCCGAGAGGCCCGAAACTTACCAATCCGCTGCGCGAGGAGGGATTAACAGAGGGTCTTCGTTTATTGCACGTAATTATGTTAATAGTGGCATGTACCGGCTCGCATTTTCGCTCGCGTGTCGTTTAGCGAGCCGACTCTACCAGGAACTCTAGGGCAGCAAAAAAAGAAACTAAAACTCATAGGGAACTTGGATGCAATTTTGGAATGGATCAACCCTAAAAATGGCGACCTTCCTGGTATTTAGGGTTGATGCCTCACGAGTCGCATTCGTTTCCGAATGAGTAATATTATTTTTTCCTGTGTGTTTCCGATCGGGTAGGTGATATGTATCACCCAGAATATATTATGTTTTTACGTACTCACGATTTGACACGCCGAGTTTTCATTCTAGAAGAAGGCGACACGCGCGTTGTAGTAGACGGCGGTAAAAAACCTCAATAAAGAAAATGAACACTATATTTCTCTTGAACTTTGTGGGAAAAATAAAACAGATCGCGGTTCCCGCGATCGAAGGCATGTCACGTGGCGATAATAAAACGAACCGCGATTCCGCGGGTTTGAGCAAAACTCTCTTAAAACCTCCAACTCCGCGTGACTGGGAATCTATCACTCCCCCATCCTCTTTACCTTTCACTTCACTCCTGGAAAGGAATTTCTCAGATTTCAGTTTCCAGGCAGAAGCTGAAAGGCACATTTTTCATTGAACCCTATCGTCTTCCTGCACTTGGAAGCTGACCTTGCGATCTCTCAATTCTTGAGGATCTTCCCACATTCGCTTTGAACAATGGCTCAAGCGACTTCCGTCGCGAGGCTGAACGTCGCCTGCGCCGCACCAGCAAATTCCAGCGCTGCTGCCAGGCCGCAGCGACAAGAGGCCGCGTCGCTCGTGGCATCATGGAGGAAGGCGCGCGTCGCCAGACCGGTGGTGCTCGGTGCCAGCGTGCAGGTGCAGGCCGCTCCCCGCGTGTCTGCACGCTCCGTAGCGGTGAAGGCATCAGCAGGCTCTGCTGACGAGGTAAATCAGTCTTGACCTGCCCTGACCTGTCCTGACCAGTTCTGAGGTGCCCGCATTGCACGGGCCCGCCGCTTCGTAAATCAGTCTCCTTTGTTTCGATAGTAGATTTTTCATTGCGAACAAACGTCCTTTCTACATTCGTCCACCCATCCAAGCCCTCAACGTCGTACCTAGTTAGACACTGAAACTCGTGTTCCGCCTGCAATCCTCTCACCACGTTAGCCTCGCATCGCTTCGCTTCGCGTCGCTTCGCTTCGTCTCCCACGCATACATACGCGTATCCCTCCGCGTCCCGCGCGAGTGCATGCATGCAGGCGGGCGTCAAGTACCACTTCGTGGTGGCGAACGCGACGTTCATGCTAGACGAGGAGGAGCACTTCCAGGAGCAGCTCAAGGAGCGACTTTTGACACGTCTCAAAACTCCCACGCTTACATCCGCGTATCGTATCCCTCCGCGTCCCGTCCCGCGCGAGTGCATGCATGCAGGCGGGCGTCAAGTACCACTTTGTCGTGGCGAACGCGACGTTCATGCTGGACGAGGAGGAGCACTTTTAGGAGCAGCTCAAGGAGCGGCTACGGTGGCTGGAGGAGAAGGGCACGGAGCAGAACTTCTGGCTCGTCTTCGAACCCAAGTTCCTCGAGGAGTTCCCCGAGATCGCCAAGCGCGTCAAGAGACCCGCCGTTGCTCTCGTCTCCACTGACGCTACCTGGATCACGTAAGCCGCCCCGCGCCGCGCCTCTCTTCTTCATCTCCCCTCTCCTCTCCTTTTTAGCGCCTGCCCTTCTCTCCTTTCTCCCTCATTATTCTCTTCCTTTCCTCCAAGACTCCTTGATAAAAGTGTTGTTTTCATTCTCTTCCATTGACTCCAAGACGTCTCAAAACAACTCTTCCATTGACTCCAAGACGTCTCAAAACAACTCTTCCATTCCTCCAAGACTCCTCTTTTCCTCTTTCCGCTTTCCTCTCGTCCTCCCCCTCCTTTTCTATCCTCTCGTCCTCTCCTCCTTTCGTATCCTCACGTCCTCTCCTTTCATATCCTCTCGTCCTCTTCTCGTTTATCCTCTCGTCCTCTCTCCTCTTCTATCCTCTCGTCCTCTCCTCTCCTATCCTGTCGTCGTCCTATCCTCCTCTCCCCTCGTCCTCTCCTCCTTTCGTATCCTCCCGTCCTCTCCTCCTTTCCTATCCTCCCGTCCTCTCCTCCTTTCCTATCCTCCCGTCCTCTCCTCCTTCCTGTCCTCCCGTCCTTCCCTCCTTTCCTATCCTCCCGTTCTCCCCTCCTTTCCTATCCTCCCGTGCTCCCCTCCTTCCCAATCCTCCCGTCCTCCCCTCCTTTCCTCTCCTCCCGTCCTCCCCTCCTTCCCTATCCTCCCGTCCTCCCCTCCTTCCCTATCCTCCCGTCCTCCCCTCCTTTCCTATCCTCTCTCCTCTCCTGTCTTCTCGTCGTCTATCTTTCTCTTCCCCCATCATCTCTCCCTGCTTCCGTCATTCGCGCGCTCGTCCTTAACCCCTGGGACATCTGGGTCCCGTAAACAACGGGATACATTTCGAATCGATTGCAACTGAGCCGCGATTTAGGAACTGTACCCACTGAAGCAAAACGACTGTTTCTTGTGACATTGGAACAAATGTTGTTCCGTTACCTCAGCGGTTAAATGGGTGTCTCTCGGCCACTGTCGCTGCTGTAGATGCTTGCCTTGCCTCGCTTTACAAACATTTTCTACATCTTGGTTTTGTCTCTTTCCTCATTTATCGTCTCCATTTTTTTTTCTCCCTCGTTTCCTCCTTTCGTATTCCCGTGCTCCCCCATCATAATCCTGCGTCCTCGTTCCCTGAACTTTCCCTCCCCGCTCCCTCCCTGTCACCCATATGTGAGTCAAATCAAAACGGTTCGCTTTTCTTTCCGGAATCCACCCACGACCGTATGGGTGTCGTGTCAGGTTCATGAAGCTGCGTCTGGACCGCGTACTCAAGGGCGAGTTCGAGGCGAGCTCACAGGACGACGCATTGGAGGGCAAGCCCTTTGACATCTCCTTCCCCAAGCCCGCCAACTGGGTCGCGCCCTACCCTAAATACGAGCCCACCTGGTGGAAGCCCTATGCTCCAGCCAAGTATGCCAAGGCCAACTAGACGGGTTTGGGTTAGAGAGTGGCTGTGCTGTGCTGGGTTTGTTCTAGGGACACGCTAGCGATGTGCTGTAAGTGACTTGTTGTCAGGCTTGACACATAGATTATTAACCATTATTTGATAAGCGCCCAATTAGTATTTTTTGTATTGGTGTATACTGGTTTCATTCAGAATCTTCGGTTGCATCATGACGCCACGTGTTATGAGTTGTAAAAGAGAGTGCGCATGTAAACGAATAACGAGACTGTCATTGAACGAACTGAGAATACAATGAATGCACAGACTAATGTAGGGCTAGCCTAGCTAGGAGGAAACCTCGGGAAACGAGGTTGGGTGCAGGTTTGGCGATGGGAAATGCCGAAGGCGACGCGAGGAGCCTCGGCAGCGTTGAAATCGGCCAAACGTGCGAAGTCCGAAAATCGGGCTGTACGCGTAGCAGTCAACCCGATAAGGAATTAAGGAAAATTCCTTACACTACCCCCCCCCCCCTTAAGAAAGGCTGTCAATGTCCGAAACACGCTTGCGCGCCAAATAATCACCAATCAGTGGCGAGGCGTCGAGCGAGGCGGATGGCACCCACGTGTCGTCCTCACTGGTGCGGTCAGTCCATCGGATTAAGAAATCCACGTGTCGTCCCGCTGCGTCAAGTCGGACCCGATGAGCTAGGATTTTCGAAGGGTCAAGGGTCGGCTCCGGAACAGGTCTTGCTGTCGGTGCAGCTTGCTGTCGTGCGATGTCGGTCGTGGCTGTCACGAACTTGCGAAGGAGGCTGACGTGGAAGGCGTCATGAATTCGCCAGTCGTCGGGTAGCAACAGCTTCGCGGTGACAGGTGTCACCATCTTGAGAATCTTGAACGGTCCACAAAATCGTGGTCATAGCTTCGACGGGCCGGGCAGGTGCAGGTTCTTCGTGTCAAGTAGCACTAATTGCCCAGTGGTCAAGACGAGTTCCCGGCGTAGAAGGTCGGTGTATTTTCGGGAAGTAATATTCGCCTTGCGAATTGCGTCTGCGGCTTTTTCTCGGACTTCCTGGAGTTCCGTCACAAAAGTCTGTGACCTCGGGACCGGGTTGTCGAGTGTAGTTGCCGTAGGAACTGTTGGGTCCATCCCGTAATTCAGGAAGAACGGTGAGTGATTAGTCGTACTGGACGGCGCGTTGTTGAAAGCGAATTCCAACATTGCGAGAGATTCTTCCCAGCGGGCAGGGTCGGGGCAGTTTGTCCTGATCAGCTGCTCCATGGTCTGATTGGTCCGCTCGGTTTGACCGTCCGTCTGTGGGTGATATGCCGATGAGAACTGTAGCTTCGTGCCGTACTGCGCCCACGTCTCCTTCCAGAACTTGGACGTGAACTTTGGGTCTCGGTCGCTGATGATCGCCGAAGGGATGTCGTGCAGTCGCACGACCGTTGAGATGAAGAGGCGCGCAGTTTCTTCGGCTGTGATTGCTGTTCGGCATGGTGCGAAGTGCGCCATTTTCGTGAAGCGATCGACGACGACGAGAACAGCGTCGTTGCCGGACGGCCCAGCTGGCATCCCCGTGACGAAATCCATCGTCACTTGCTGCCACGGTCGTTCGGGTGGCTCGAGGGGTTGCAGCAGTCCAGCTGGTCGTTGACGTGTCGATTTCATAGCTTGGCACACCCTGCATGAGGACACATATCGCTGCACGTCGTTAGAAGAGTCAGGCCAATAATATTGACGGTGCAGTAATTTTTGGGTTTTATCAACCCCGAAGTGTCCGGAGAAATTCGAATCGTGGACCTCTTGGATAAGGAGTTCACGCAGCAGCCGGTAAGCGGGCACCCAAATCCGGTCGGTTCCGGCTTTTAGGTAATAATCCCCTTTCTGCGTCGTGGCCTGCTGACGATTCCCAGTCGTGAAGAACGGGTCCGTAGTGTAGCCGTGGGTGAATAGTCCTGTAAGTAGCGGGTTCGAATGGGTGATGAGTACTGCAGCGGATTGTACTGTCGGTCGGGTCAGGGCGTCGGCGATGTTATTCGCCCCTTTCTTGTACGTGATGCGGTAGGTGAAGTGGCTCTCCATGTAATCCAGCCACCTAATCTGTCGTGGGTTGAGGTTGGGTTGGGCTCGCAGGTACTGTAGGGACTTATGGTCTGTGCGAACAGTGACGTCGGCGCCCACCAGGTAGCATCGCCATAATTTAAACGCGTGTATGATGGCGAGCATCTCCTTGTCGTGAATCGGGTAGTTGCGTTCGGCTGCCTGCAGCTTGCGTGATTCGTAGGCGATCGGCTGCAACCCATTCCCGAAATCTTGGAGAAGCACTGCTCCGATGGCGAAATCTGAGGCGTCGGTGACGACTTCGAACGGCTTCGATGGATCGGCGATGCGCAGCACAGGAGGGGAAACCAGAAAATTCTTGAGTTCCTGGAAAGCCGCTTCTGCCTCCTCCCCCCACACAAAATTCTTGTCCTTGTGCAGCAGGTCGGTCAGCGGGCCGGTTATCCCCGCCATATTCGGGATAAACCGCCTGACGTAATTCACGAATCCGAGAAAACTCTGGAGTTCCGTGACATTCGTCGGGGACTTCCACTCCTGAATGGTCTTGATTTTCGCCGGGTCGATTTTAATGCCGTCACGTGAGATGACGTGCCCCAAAAACTCCAACTCTTGCTTAAAAACTCGCACTTAGAGCCCTTGGTGATGAGTCGGTTCTCCTGCAGCCGCTTAAACACTGCGTCCAAGTCCCGGAGGTGTTGTTCCCGTGTCTTGCTAAAAATCAGGATATCGTCCAAATAGACGATGACGCAACGGTCTAGAAGGTCTCGGAAAACTCTGTTCATGGTCAGTTGAAATGTCGAAGGCGCGTTCGTGAGGCCGAAAGGCATCACTGTAAATTCGTAACTCCCGTAGCGTGTGCGAAACGCAGTCTTGTGACAGTCGTCGGTGAAGACTCGAATCTGGTGGTAACCGCCACGTAAGTCAATCTTCGAGAAATAGCGAGCGCCGCGAAGTTGGTCGAGGAGGTCGTCGGTACGTGGGATTGGGTAGCGAGACTTGATGGTGACCCGGTTCAGCGCACGATAGTCGATACACATGCGAAGCCCGCCGTCCTTCTTCGGAGTGAACAGGATCGGTGCTGCGAAGGGCGATGTGCTGGCCCGAATGAACCCTTTCTCCAACAGTGCGTCAATTTGACTTCGCAGCTCCTCGAGTTCCGGCTGGGTCAACCGCCACTGTGTCCGAACAGTCGGCTGCGCGCCAGGTTCCAGCTGGATTTTGTGGTCCTCAGGTCTCTCGGGTGGCAGTCCAGGTGGCAGGTCGTCGGGGAAAATGTCCGGGTACCTCCGAATTAGCTCCGCTAAATCTGGTGATACAGCTGCACACAGCTTCTCGATGTCCTTTCCTTCGGTGTCAACTGCCAACTCACGTAAGCAAACAGCGAACAGCTGCGCGCCCTTGTTGAAGTGGCAAGCTATTGTGATAGCTTTGACGCACGGGGCTTGGATGTAGTCAGGTGTCCATGCAGGCAATTTAATGAGCCCCTCGTGCTTGTTGATGCTGCACGATCCCGTTGTCCAGTCGATGACGGGGTTGTGCCGTCGCAGCCAATCACGTCCCAGCAGTACGTCGCAGCCATCCAAAGTTGTCGCGAGAAACTTCATGCTGAAGCCGAAATCGTCGCCGCATTCGATCCTGACCGTCCGTGTTTCTTCCGTTATCGCCAGAGGCGTCCCATCCACGAGGCGAGCGTCAATTTCGGGCAGACGCCTGTCAAGTTGCAGCTTGCATTTTTTTGCGCTCGCCAAGTTGAAGAGGCTATGGCTGGCCCCTCCATCGACGAACATTTTCAAGTTATTTTTTAACACCTTGCCAGCGACCAGCACAGGGTGATCCACATGATTATCCCCGTTATTCGGCCGAGTGCGATCGATTGCATGAATCGGAACCACGACTCGGTGGGGATGATGGTGTTCGGGCGACGGAGCGCAGTCAGTAAAGGGCCCGCTAATTACTGACTCTTCCCATTTCCCTGCTCCTTCCTGTCGTCCCCTGTCAGCGGCATTTTCTCCTGGCAGTCTTTCCTGTAGTGACCCACCTTCCCACACCGAAAACACAGACCCTTAGGAGGGCGGTCGGGTGTATGGACTGCGTTGATCGTGGCCCGATGGGTCTGGCCACGAAAGCTTCTCCCATCCCTGGAAGCTGCTCTCGCGTACTGCATCAGCGCATCAGTTGACTCCGCCACGCGTACTGCTTTGAGGAACGATGTCGGGCGGCTTCGGCGGACCTCGAACTGTATCTCGTATTTAAGGACGCTGACGTATTTATCCAACCGCTCTGCTTCCGACATGTCATCAATTTGGTCGGCGAAGCCCATAAATGACGCTGTGTAGTCTTGGACAGATACCATCTGCGACCATGCACGCAGCTTCATGCGAGCTTGCTCCGAGGCGGATACGTGCTCGAAGCGGTCTCGTAAGGCTGCGCCCCACTCCTTCCACGTGCGTATCTTGGTCACACCGAAGATCGGTTCTGCCACTTGATTAACCACTGTAGAGGTCCCGTCTGCCGCATGTGTCACACCTGTCGGCGTCCCCGTTTCTAAGGTCCGGCGCCACCACTCAAGTGCTGCACCTCGAAGAAGTGAGACCGCGTAATTAATACGCGTGGCATCGTCGTTAACTCCGGCTGCAGTGAAAAAGACCTCGACCCCGAACAGCCACCCTTTTACCGTAACCGTTTTGTCCGTAGGGTTAAACGGGGGCGGGTTGACGGGTTTGATCTTGATCGTCGTGACTGCAACTGGCGCTACTGCCGCTTGCCGCCTATCTTCTTCTTCGAAGTCACGTGTGAGCTCGTCCAGAGGGTTGCCCATCACTTGACTGTTGCCCTCGCCTTCTTCATCGGGCGACTCCTGACGCGCTTCACCTCGCGTCTGGCGTAGCTCGGCGTTTTCGCCTCGTAATGTTGTCACTTCTGCCGATAGTGTCTGTACTGTTGCCTGGAGTGCTGCCATTTGCGCCAACATTTCGTCCAACTTCTCCTGATCCATGTGCCTAACGCTTCGTCTGGTGGGCAAGTGGGTACCCGTGGTATCCAGGCAAGTGAAAACACGAACTATCGGAGTCGGGCAGGATTGAGTTAACAATCCCTGTAGCCAACCGTCGTGTAATCACTAAACCAACCACACCCCTGCCACCAAACTACCCTCGAAAAGCGGGGTGAACTAGGAAAGTAGCTCTGATACCAGGTGTTATGAGTTGTAAAAGAGAGTGCGCAGGTAAACGAATAACGAGACTGTCATTGAACGAACTGAGAATACAATGAATGCACAGTCTAATGTAGGGTTAGCCTAGCTAGGAGGAAACCTCGGGAAACGAGGTTGGGTGCAGGTTTGGCGATGGGAAATGCCGAAGGCGACGCGAGGAGCCTCGGCAGCGTTGAAATCGGCCGAACGTGCGAAGTCCGAAAATCGGGCTGTACGCGTAGCAGTCAACCCGATAAGGAATTAAGGAAAATTCCTTACACCACGTTATCTCTAGCAGGAAGACAAACCATGGAGGGACACGCGGCATCAATCCAACCAGCTGACGTGTTGCACTCTGACATGCGCACCTCATGAGACCCGAGTCACTTCCTTTAGTAGCTCACTTCTGGAGATGTGTGGAAGGACGCTGCCCACAGTTCATGCATCAACCTTCAGAAAGGTGAGCAGCGGTTATAATGGTTCACGTAACAACCGGCCTAAATCGCACAGTACCGTACTTTACAGTGGTTCCCGAACACAAATTCATCCCTTTGCATGAGTGTCTTCGTCTTGGTTTTCTGGGATTCAGCTTGAGTGTGATTTCTGAATTCAGCGTGAGTCTACAACGGGCGACTGCTTTGGACACAGGTTTCGGTTTCGTTCTTTAGCTGCAGGAACAGCTCGTAGCGCTAGTAATAAGCTTGCATCGTGTAAGGCTCAAAAACAGAAGACTTCGACAAGCCTCGATTCCAAGGCTTCAAACCTTCAAGCGTTTTCCATGGCAGCGTTATCTCTCTCCGCACCTCCTCGCAACGGCCTTGTCCCGTCCGGCAGAACTCCCGTTTCGAGATTTTCCGCTCAACCTGCTGCACGAAATGCCACATGGCTCAATCCTGTGTGGGTTCGCTGCAATCTGGACGGCAAGGACGGCAATTTTAGCAAGTCCAACGGCTCAGATGCTTCAGGTGACGTATCCGAGTTCCAGTCCCTCGCGCCTGACGTCAGACCTAAGGGCTCCATCCCGATTAACTCATCTCCCACCCGTCGCGGCGCCATCACGCTCATAGTAGCCACTAGCGCCGCACTTGGCGCCGCAGGACTCGGTCTGGGCTCTTACATGTTCTCTAGCCCCTCCGATCTTGCCGATTCCGTCAACATAACCGGCCCCAGCAGCACCATCGACCCGGCGTCGCTCTCTCCGAAGCAGCGAATCGCGCTGCGAGTAGGAAACGTGTCTTACACGGAGGCGGAGTGGCGGGAAATCCTCTCGCCCGGTGAATATTACGTCCTTAGGGAGGCCGGCACAGAACGCTCTTTCACCAGTGACCTGCTGTACGAGAAACGTCCCGGAACCTTCGTCTGTCGGGGATGCGGCTCATCCCTTTTCGACTCGGAAACCAAGTTCGAAAGCGGCACGGGCTGGCCGAGTTTTCTCGACGTGCTGCCCGGAGCTGTGGATCTGCTCCCTGATAGGTCGTTTTTTGGTTTCGACCGGACCGAAGTGCGGTGTTCCAAGTGCCAGGGGCACTTAGGGCACGTCTTTGAGGATGGCCCGGCGCCTACTGGGCTTCGTTATTGCATGAACGGCCTTGCTCTAGGGTTTCAGGCCAAGGATAGCGGCAGTGTTGCGTAGGATTAAGATATGAAGCTTCCATGTATGGTTTTGATGAGAGATTACAGCAATGGATAACTGTCAGCTTCTTCCTAGTTGTTTGCTCTCAGGCAAAGAGCAGTGGGCGTATCGTGTAAGCAGACAGGAGAGCTACTAGTTATCGATGTCCAGCAGAGCGAAGCAGGTACGTAATCAAAATAGCAAAGTAGGAAAACAAAATGTCGTTGTCGAGAGTGGGATTTGAACCCACGCCCTTTCGGACTGGAACCTTAATCCAGCGCCTTAGACCAACTCGGCCATCTCGACACATTCCCCGTCGCCGTGCAAGAGACCAAATTGAAAGACAATGCAGCCATGGCTGACAAGATGCTTCTGCTGCGAGTGTACAACGTCACCAGCAGCCGCCGTGACACAGGCGTACTTAGAGTCGACTCACAACCCACCTTTAGCCACACATTACCCTCACATTTAGTCGTGCCCTTTTCGTCCAGCAATGGCGGACAAGAAGAAGGTACTGCTGCACGTGTACGACGTCACCAACAGCCCCGATTTCAACCTGTGACACCGGCGAACTTAGGCGAACATAGACGATCTTAGGCGAACGTAGGCGAACTTAGAGTCGTTTCGTCCAGCCATGGCGGACAAGAAGAAGGTATTACTGCACGTGTACGACGTCACCAACAGCCCCGATCCGAACGTCAACAACACCGTGCTTCGCATCAACGGCGTCGCGCGAAGCACGCTGGGGATCGGAGGAATCTTCCACGGCGCCGTCGAGGTGAGCAGCTAGAAGCGCTCTCGGAGTCGAGTCGAAGGGCTCTGAGCGCCCTGACACTAGATACGCGCTCAGCGTCGCGGGAATCCCGCTGGGGGTCGGAGGGGATGTCGAGGTACCGGACTGCAGTGTTGTTACTACCAGGAAACCCTAGGGGCGCCTGAAAAGTCATGGTAGCGGTAGTTGCGGGATGCTGATCGCACTGTTGTTACCCCTAGGAAGCCATGGTAGCGGTAGTCGCACCCTCACCCTCAACCTCACGCCCCCCCACACACCTCTCCCTCCCCACACCCTCGCCCTCACCCTCATTCTCCCCCTTCCTCTCCCCATCATTCTATCCCCCCCGCTCCCCCGTGTCCCCCTCCCCCTTACCTCATTGCCTCCTCACGATGTGACTAGGCATCCCACCAACTCCAGCACTTCTTTTCCTCCCTTCCCTTCCCTTCCTCCCTTCTCTTCCTTCCCAACGATGCGTGAATTCCTACAATCCATTCGCGTGGTCCCGCTCCCATGGTCTCCTTTCCATGGTCCCATTCTTTTCCTGCCAACCACCTTCCAGGTGGTGGGAGAGCAAAGGTCCTTTGGATACTGTAAGTGCGGGCCAGGCTTGTTTAGCTGCCTGTTTTACGTCCCACCCCACCCCCCCCCCCCACCACCACGCGTGGAACTAACACGTGGTCACATGCGCTTGTTCTTTCCTTGTATGCCGTACCTTCCACCCTCCCACCTTCCAGGTGTTTGGAGAGGAATGGTTGTTCGGTTACTGCGAGCGCGGGTCAGGCGTGTTCAGCTGCCGCCCCAAATCCCACCCCTACTACACCTACCGCGAGACAGTCAGCATGGGGGAAACCAAACTGAGTGCTAAACGAGCCGGGCAGGTCATTGCAGAGATTAGCGTGCAGTGGCCTGGCGAGTCAGTTTTCCACAACTCCCACTTAACCAACTGGTTCTCGTCCCTCTCAGGTGTTTGGGGAGGAATGGTCGTTTGGGTATTGCGAGCGCGGCTCAGGCGTGTTCAGCTGCCGCCCGAAAGCCAATCCCTACTACACCTACTGAGAGACAGTCGACATGGGGGACACGAAGCTCAGCCGCCATTTCCCTCTATTCCCGTCCACCATCCCCCCCCCCCCCCCCCCCCCCCCCCCCCCCCCCCCCCCCCTTGCTTCCAGGTGTTCGTTTGGATACTGCGAGCGTGGGTCGGGCGTGTTCAGCTGCCGCCCCAAATCCCATCCCTACTACAGCTAGCACGGGAGACAGTCAGCACGGGAGAGACGAAGCTGAGCGGTCCTTCAAGGCCTCTCCTCCTCCCTTCCCTCCCTCTCATGCATGCAACCTTACTGGTATGAAATCCAACCCCTACTACATCTACAGCGAGACGGTCGACATGGGGGAGACGAAGCTGAGCCATCGTTCCCTCTATTCTCGCCACCCCCCCTTGCTTTCAGGTATTTGGGGAGGAATGGTCGTTTGGGTACTGCGAGCGCGGCTCAGGCGTGTTCAGCTGCCGCCCGAAATCCAATCCAACCCTCCTAGGTTCTCGTCCATCCCGCCTTTCTTCCAGGTGTTTGGAGAGGAGTGGTCCTTCGGATACTGCGAGCGTGGGTCAGGCGTGTTCAGCTGCCGCCCTAAAACGAACCCCTACTACAGCTACCGCGAGACAGTCGACATGGGGGAGACCAAGCTCAGCGCGAAACGAGCGGGGCAGATCATAGCTGAGATGAGCGTGCAGTGGCCTGGGGTGTCGTATGACATGCTCGGGCGAAACTGTAACCACTTTTGCGACGAGCTTTGTGTTAAGCTGGGCGTTGGGCCCATTCCAGGTGGGTGGGTGGGTCGGTGGATGAGTGGGTGGGCGAGTGGGTGGATGGGTAGCCGGGTGTAGACTTTTGAGATGCGAGTTTGCATTAGTGGCTCTTCGACAAGTGTGCAGTGGTCTGGCGAGTCGTGTGATATGCTCGGGCGAAACTCTAACCACTTTTGTGATGAGCTGTGTGTTAAAAACTGGGTGTCGGGCCGATCCCAGGTGGGTGGAGGAATGTAGACCTGTGTAGCGTGCTTCCATTACCCTCTCCTCTCCGTTATGCGTTTGCCTACAAGTCGTCTCAAGGCCAATTCCTTGACTCACCACCACCAACAAACCCCCTCTATTCTGCTCTTTTCCTTTTCAGCGTGGGTCAACCGGTTTGCTCGAACAGGCGATTCTGCAGCTGAGCTTTATGATCAAGTGGGACAACAGGTGAGTGTAGATCGAGGCAACCTCTGATTTAGTCTTCAAGAATCAATACAAATTAGCTAGCAAAAAAAACAAAAACAAAAGCACGCCAGATTTTTTCCTTATGTTTTCCTCCTTTTTTTCTTCCTTTTTTTTTTGTTCCTTTCTTCGTTGATTTGTTGAAAGCTGGTTCTGCAGCACAAGCTTTCTACTTTGTTTCTGAGATACGTAACAGCAAATTGATGTGTTCACACCTGTTTTATGTTTTTTTGTCGCCTGCCACCTTTTTTGTTCTGCCCAGGTTGCTGCTCTGCAGGAGTGGGGCAGCGGCACCTACAACTACTTGTTTGGTGCAGGAAATTCAGCTGCCGCTGCTTCTTCTACTAATGTTGGTGATGCTGCTGGTGCTCCTGCTGCTGGTGCGGGTAAGGCTGCTGGTTCGGTTGGTTCAGCTGCTGGTTTGGCTGCTCCTGTGGGGTCTGTACAGGGGAGGAGTTGGGCGGAGTTTTGGAGTGGGAGGAAGGGAGATGACCTGGATGGGGCTGAGTTGCTGGAACCTGGGGAGGAGAGGAGCAGCATGGGTGTTTGTGAGAGTGAGGGACGGGGAGAAGGGGACGGGAGAACAGGGAGAGTGGAGGAGGGTGATGGGAGTGAGGAGAGGAAAACTGAGGCAAGTGATAGAGGAATGGAGAAGAAGAAAGAGAAGGCGAAGGAGAAGGAGAAGGAAAAGGAGAAGGAGAAGGAAAAGGAGGAGAAGGGAGGAATTCGTGCCAGTCTGCCTTTGTTACCAACTGTCCCTCCAGAAGTAAACACAAGCAACAGTGTCAATTAGTGGAAATGAAACTCTCAATGTGATATTTATCTGTGTCTAGTAGCAGTTCTCTTGTCAGTTGTATAAGACCCAAAGCAATCTGCAACATTTCTTGATGCTCGCATGACTTCTATCGAGAAACGTTTCTCCTTCAATCGGTTCCTTCCAAGCAGAATCCTCTCTTTGGGGTCGCGCTCGGGTTGGCTCTTTTCGTGATTCAGTTTCACTCTGGGTTCGGATATTGCACCTCCATGTGAACTGTAGTGCAGGTTCAGTGCCAGTTGCACACATACACGATGCCGTTCAAGTTCAGTTCATTTCGAGTTTCTTCGGAATCTGACTGGCGCCGCTTGACTATGACTCACAAATAGTGCGCCCCGACTAGGACTGCTAGATTCTCCCTAAGCGGGGTCTTATTTCGTCACATCTGTTTCCTTCTGTCCGCTGACTTGGCGGATCGCAATCAGACTAGTCTCTCCTGTCTTGGCGGCCCGTAGTATAACGACTCCCTTACCTGACTCGGATCGATTGAGCAGTAGCGATTGCGCGACGACGGCTTGCGGCGACTGGGTGTGATTGCAGTCCGTAACGTTCCTTTTCGGTGTTTGCTGCGTCTCAGTGAACGTTTACGGAGAAGCTGCGATAGCGTACCCAACCCAACAAGACATTGCCTTTTTCGCGCTTTCACAGCGATTCCCCCAGCTGTTCTTTTCAGTTAGCGATCCGTCTGCGCTTATCGCGTACGGCTCGCGTGGACACCCATGGCGCCGCGCGGGTCCGTCGTCGCGTTTCAGAAGAGATTCAAGGAGTCGTCTCAGCAGATGCTGGAGGTAGGCGTTGGAGTTGTTTTTGACTGACCTTTGTGACGCCTCTTGCGACAATTTTAGAAGCATCTGGAAGCGATTCAAGGAGTCTTCTCAGCAGTCCTCTATGTGACTCAATTCCTTCGTGATTCCTCGGACTCTACGGAGCAGATACTAACGCGGATGCTCGAGGTAAGTTTCTCCTCTAGCTGTTTTGACTCCTTTTGACTCTTAGAAGAAATGTTTTGACCCTCCTTGCTTACAAGAGAACGCGGAACTATTTCCATGGAGGATTGACCAGCATGTGTTGCTTGGTGCTGGCGGACCATTCTTTCCTGATCTCTTGCTTCTTCTTATCGACTTTTCGACTCAAAAAGCGACGCATTACACGCGGTTTTCTGTCGACTCAAAAAGCATGTGTTGCTTGGTGCTGGCTGACCATTCTCTCCTGATCTCTTGCTTCCTTCAACTTCACTCTATTTCGTTCGTTCTTTATCCCTCTCCCGTCCCTCATTCCGTCTATTCCTCTTCTTGACCCTCGTTCTCCATGTTTCCAAAGTCTCTGGTATTCGCTCTGAGGCTCCCCAACACTCCATGTTTCCCGGTTTCGAAATGCTGGCCACTCGATCCTATATTTTCCCTCCCCTTTTGGTTTTCTTCCCTGTTCGTCCTCCCTGCAGCTCATCTCAGAAGCAGCTCCAGAAACTTCTAAGAAGGTGACCAGGGATGATGTGGCCAAAGCAGCAGAGAGCCTCGTGAAGCAAGCCGTCAAGGGTAAGGAAATCTCTTATAGCTGTCAAACTCGGGATTTGAATGTTCATGCATGCCACAGAAGTCCCATCCCACCCATCTCAGGAAATGATTTTTTTTCTAGACTCAAAAATCACCCAAGATAACCAATATAGCTGCCAACTTTGGGATTTGAATGTACATGTATGCCACAGAAGTCTCATCCCAGTCAGCTCTGCAAGTGTTTTTTTCTAATGACTCAAAAATCAACCAAGGTACCCAATCTAGCTTTCAAATCCGGGATTTTAATGAACATCGTCACAACCATTTCTGTGGACTTTTGAGACGTCCCAAAAGGTCTTAAAACTGTCGAATCCGGCATTTGAATGTACATGCATGCCACAGAAAGTCTCATCGCAACCATTTCTACCGTTCTTCTCACCGCCATGGGTTCTGCCCTTCCCCTTGCACCATAACTCCTATAACTGCTCGTGTGTCCTCGTTTCCTGCTCACACAATATAATCTCCTCTCATTCCCCTCTTCTCCCCTTCCCTCCTCCACATACTCCTTTCTTCCATAACCACACCCATCTCAGTTGCAATCTTCTGGGCAGCGTCCTCTCCCCCCAAGGCAGCAGAAGCCGCCCCGCTGCTCTCCGATTTCCACGACTCGTTTGTGGCATCCATGCTGCTGCTGCACGCCTGCAGTGCTGGCGCTGCTGCCACGTGGCATGCTGCCATTCGCTCAGCTGCGGAGGGTATCGTGTCCGCCGCGAGTGCTCTGCTAGACACTGCTTTGACCACGACAAATGGTATGGGGTTGTGTTGCTGACGTTGGCAGTGATTTGATTTCATAAGTTCCTTGTCATCTGCATGTTGCATTGTATTAATGATATAAAACAGTGTCTAGTTACTCATGACACTTACAATATGAGGAACTACTGGTTTTCCTTATATTTCAAATCATTCCCTTCTCCCCGTTTTCGCCCTGCAGCCAATCAGCGAGCTCAGCTGCTCCCCAGGCAGGTGGGTGTGCTGCAGTCAGCATATGCAGCACTGAAGAAGCTTCCAGTAAGCAACGAGGCGGCTGTGGGTCGGGCACTGGTGACCGTTGCTGCATCGATGAAAGATGTTGCCAGGGAGGTGGGAGAGATGGTTGGAAGAGAAGGGGTCGAGAACGGTGCTGTGGGGGAGGAGAAAGGAGATGCTGTGGGGGAGGGAAGCGCTGAGGAAGGCAAAGGGCTTCAAGGAAAAACTGTAGCCAACGAAAGGAAGGCTGTTTGTGATGATGAAGAGGAGGAGGATGGTGATGGTGATGAGGATGAGGATGAGGATGAGGAGGAAGAGGAGGTGAGTTTGGGCGAGGAGGAGAGGGAGTTGGCACAGAGTGGTTTGCGAGTGTCTGTGGCAGCAGAAGGGGCGATTCGGTGTTTGATTTACCTTGTGGCGTCTTGGCAGCAGCACCGGGACTCCTGGGGACGGCAGCAGCAGCAGCAGCAGGTGCAAGAGAAATCACAATCACAAGATGAGAAAAAACAACAGCAAAAGCAGGAGGAGAAGACCAGTAAGGCAGGGATTGCAGCTGCCATTGGCACAAGCAGCAGTGCCCCCAAGGGCTTGAATAGCAGCAGCAATAGCAGCGGAAATAGCAGCAGCGGTATCTTGGAGTCGGTTCTGCGTGTGTGCATGGGAGCAAGTGAAGATGTGGACGAGATAGGTGCATCTCTCTTCCCGCCTCAAGAGCCCGGCACCATTCGCATGCGAGCACAGCAGCTGCTAGGTCGAGCGAGAGAATTGAAGTCACTGCTGCCGCTGGCACCAGCAGGAGAAACATCGGGGAAAATCAAAGCAGCGGATTCAGGGTGTGCCAGTGTTGCTGCCACTGATGCTGCTGGTGAAGGGAATGGAGGAGAGGTGGGGAAAAAGGGTGTGGGGAAAGAGGGGATGAGCGTGAGTAAGTTGCATGAGGCGATTGGGGAGATGGAGAGAGATATAGGTGCACTGTTGCAAGTGGTGGGAGAGGGGAGCAGTGAGAGGGAGGTGGTGGAGGAAGAGGGAGCACAGGGGATAAGGGAAGGGAGGAAGGATGAGAAGGTTACTGGTGTAACTGCTACAATAGAGAACTGTAGTTTAGATGATTGAGGTGCCAAAAACGCAGGAAGAATAATTCAATGTTGGTGCACGTCATGTTCTGACTGTTCATGGTCTTCAAATGTGATGCTCTTTACTTCGTTCCTCATTGGGTCAACATTGGTTGGTATAGCTGAGGAATTGGCAAAGAAAACATGTGGGATGGGGTATACCACCACCTTGAAACTCTAGTTGAGGACCAAATTGGCTTGTGTTGTGGCCAGAAGTAGCTGTTGGCCTACAGTGGTAATGGTCGAGTTTATGGGAAACACTAGATTGTTACAGTGTAGTTTAGAGATGCGGTGCGACACAATTGTGGCTCACCACCAGGCGTTCGACTGCAAACCCCCCACCCCCGTCGTCTCGCTTCTGAAACATTACGCGAGGGGATGGGGGTGGGAGAATCACGATTCACGAAAAGCTGCAAAACTCAAACCTTCTAGATTCATCCTTCACATGAGTTTCGAGGTGATGGTAAAGGAGATCTCGCCCAAACATACAGCACCATCAGAACTTCCATGCTTGAGCTATTTACAGTGGGATGTTCCCTCCTCCTTTATGGTCGACGGGTTGACTCCAGCTGCTCGACATTTCTGTTCACGGCCTTCTTATACCTTTCACTTACAGTGCTAGTTCTGCTTGCGTGCCATGGCGGCGCAACGTACCAGGAGATCTTACGCGATGCGCTGCATTGGCGATTATGCGCTCCGGGTCCCTCAAACCTGATGAGTGATATGAGCGCGAACAACAATGCTTCCCGCATCTGCTCGGCTCTGACTGGTGCATCTGACGGCGTCCCTCTTCTGGCATACGATCGTTGCGGACGCTCGTTCCTAATTGAACCTGAACAAGGTATGCGTCCATCTTTGAGTCTGTATCTTTGTTTTCTTCCATCGACGATTTTATGAAGGCTGCCGATTTCTATGTATCAAGGGTCAACGATGATGAAAGCACACATATGGCTTCGTTTCTCGAAACATTCGCAGTGGCCGACTGAAAGCTTTCGCCCCTGCCGGGGCTTGAGAGCTGATGTGGCTTTTTCCTTCCTTGGATGGCTGAGTTGACTCATAAGTTACATCGGTAAAATCTTCCGTCATGTCTAACCTAATCTTAGCCAGCTGTATATCTGGCCCTTCCGGAATCTTTCCGCGTCTCAAAGTGTCTGATTGGTCTATTCGTGAAACGTGATTTCTCTTTTAATTGTTGCCGATATTTATCTGTCAACGATGATGAAAGCACACATATGGCTTCGTTTCTCGAAACATTCGCAGTGGCCGACTGAAAGCTTTCGCTCCTGCCGGGGCTTGAGAGCTGATGTGGCTTTTTCCTTCCTTGGATGGCTGAGTTGACGTGATAACCATTTGTTCTGTACACTCATAGGCGTGATGATGATGTGGATGATGATAACCATTTCCTCAGTCGGATTCCTTCTGACACCTTCGGGTGGCTGAAGCTACTCAACCTTTCTCGCCGACACATCCATCACAAGTGCTCTTAATATGCGAGTGTTTTCCGGTTTTGTATTGTATTTCTCACTGGTGCTTTAATGATGGTAATGTGGATGATGAAAACTTTTCCTTCAGTCGGATTCCTTCTGACGCTTTCGGGCGGTTGAAGCTATTACACCTTTCTCCAGCTGACACATCCATCTTCCCATTCTATTTGTCACTCAAGTTCGCTACTTAGGAGTGGAGGAACGCCCTAATTAATGACGTTTCTCCCCATTATTTGTAGCAAGATGGACAAGGAGCATAAGGCTTGGCGTGAATATTCCTTGCACAGCCAAGTTACCGCGTTTCTGACAAGTCAAGTTTCTGGGATGTAATGCGAGGTCACCTTTTGGTACTTTGCTCACCTGTTCCGGTCCGTGTTCACTGTTGTGCAGGTTCAAATTAAGATTCAGGCTTTGTGTGGAATGCCAGATGCTGCAACCGTGCAATGGAAGATTACGACATTTATGTGGACGGAAGTTGTAAGCTCTTTTTCCTCTTACCTGACGATGGTGGCTTGAGGCATTGTTATCTTATCACGGCAAACGGATTGGTGGCGTTGATGAAATACGGACTCCCTCTACTGAAAAGCATGAGGAATCTCCGGCGGAATCGAACCTAAACTAAATCTGCCATGTCTGAGCCACCAAATCTCATGCTGTAGCTGCATCTTTCGTAGCTTTACACATGTATTTCTGTTGTGATGTTCTTTGCGTCGCATCTTGGGCCACTGGTCAGTAGCTTCACTGCCCACTACTGTTTCCCCTTTCCATTCTGGGCGAGTTTCGTTTGCAATCTCGTTGATCCGGGTTAGGGCCGTGCAGTGATGTGATTCAGAGATTCTGACACCTCTACAACTAGAGTCTCGTTGCCTTTGGGCGTCAAGGCTCAATGCTGATAATCCTCTTTGTTGTAGTCTGAGCACGGTGTACCGGATTCCTCGTTTGCTTTTCATCACATGATTAGTTTTTTTAACTACTCTGCTAGGGAACACTTAGTTTCTGTATCAAGCAAGCTCACTCCATGCTGCGCCCGATTCGTGGAGCAGTGTGATTTTTTCACTTGCTAATCACCGCATTGGGTGCTTTCGATTGAGGGGTTATGCCTTTCATGTTCACCCCTCCTGAACTAATGCAACAATCTCTTGCATGCAGGGACAAGTGGATGACATCGCGAAGAGAAGGGAGATCTGTGGTCGTGCATTATAATTGACAGACGGAAGGAAGGAAAGCAACCAGGACGCATATTCCGTTCAACCCAGTCATCATGGCAAGAGCAGTTTAAAATTTAGAGAACATTACTCTATGGTTGTGATGTTCTGGAATGTACGTCTTCTGTATATCGTGTTTAATGAGAATGTCAGTATTCACAAGTTGCCTGATAGTCACTTCATGCGCTCAGGCAGTAATTATACAATGCAAACTCAAAGGTAAACAAAACATGTTAGTGTAAAGAACATGTGATAGTCACTCAGGGCGTTTCCAACTTCGGGTCATACGGCACTGTTTGGGTCATCAGTACACTTTGGGTCATGGGAGGACCAATGGTATTCGAGTAGTGTAGCTAAAATGCGCCTGATTGGTCTTCCAAGAATCTCAGATGACCCAAACAGTGCCGATGACCCGAAGCTGGATACGCCCTCAATGCACCAACATAATCAAAATAAACAAACAAAATAAATAAACAAACAATACACAAGTACTCCTTAAGCACTGTTCTCAATCTGAGACTGGTTATGTTGCACTGCGGAATGGGTGGATATCATTGAGAACAAAATCTTTCGTTGACAAACCATCAACGTATCCCAAAACAATCCACAGTTGAATTGAGACTGCTTCTAAGGAACATGCTCGCTCCTTTCATTTACTAACTGTCTGATGATAAACTGTTTTGAACCATCTGCTCACGGAGAAATTAAAACAACGAAAGGACAGAACATGATGCTTTTGGAAAGATCGAAATGGGAGAAGAAACAGTGGTCGACCGCACTTCACTGTTAGGCTGAGAGAAGGCAACAATGGATAACCATTCAGTGCACAACTTCCATCGAACATTCAATCCATCAAAATATCACCGTGATCATACCAACATCATCAACACCATGCCATGAGCACCATCATGCAAACGCCAACCTAACAGAAGCACACCCACCATACCACCAGACTGCCACTACAGCATGTCACCACATATCTATCACTCACCAGCAAACCAACCCAACTCTCCCCATGACCTTGAATCCTCCTCACCCTCACTGAGGCACGATCACCATGCTACCATGCTCATTACATGTCCACCACCCTTGAGACACAATACCACTGCATTCCTACCCACTCACCAGTGACCCCACCCTCTCCATTGCCTCTCCATGACCGTTGGATCCTCCTCATCCTCATCAGAAGACAATCACCATGCGACCACACTCATGGTCATTCTCATCAAAACACCACCACCGTCACCATGCTTATCACCCAGACAACAAAACACACCATCCCACCATATCAGTACATCCCCATCCACTCACCAGCGATCCCACCCTCTCCATGGCCTCCATGACCGTTGGATCCTCCTCATCCTCGTACCCCACCTGGAAGTTAAGGCAAGGGGAGGGGAGGAGGGGAGGGAGAGGAGACTTTAGAGTTGACTCGAAAGTCAGCCTCCTCATCCTCGTACCCCACCTGGGATGTCAAGGCAACGGGAGGGGAGGCGGGGGAGCGGGGAGGGAGGACCCAAGAAGGGCAACAAGAGAGAATGAGAGAGAGAGAGAGAGAAAAAAAAAAAAACTCGAACCTGCATGTATGTTAGGATGACTTAATGCGTCTGTTCCTTCCAAATGACCATTTGGAAACCAGCAGGTAAAGGAAGGGCTGGGGTTAGAGCGGAAGAAAGCAGGAGAAGGAGAGGGAAAGCCAAGATGAAAATGGGGAGAAATGCTGTTTGTAATGCTGATTGAGTCGCCAACCTCACTGCTCAGGAATTTCCGAAATGCACTGCTGGGAAGGGCAACCACTTAAGGAGAATTCAAGGCAAGAAAAGGCACGCAGAACACACGGCAGTATGGGAATGGAAGGGGAAGTAAGGGTGGGGTGTTGGGCGAGCATAGGGTACTAGGGTTGCGAGTCACCTGGAGTATTCTTGCACCGTGCACAGCCCACAGAGCTTTTCTGCCCGCCTCCTGGGAACACAAACAGAATTGGCAAAAAAACAAAAAAAACAAAACAGCAAAACATTGGGAGTCCGTATAAGATCTGTTGATTTATCGAAAGCATGAAAACATAAACGGATACAACAGACACAGCAAACTAGAGCAACATTCCCACCTCAGAGGCAATGAGGAAGAGTGCATCATCAGCATCGGCCCTGAGCTTGGCATCGGTCACAGTTGGTCATCTCATGGCCACTTAAGATGGCAGTGATACCGACAGCACAGTACCAGTCAAGGCAGCCAGTGCAGTGCACTAGAACCATGCACACGCATCCACCCACCTCAGAGGCGATGAGGAAGAGAGCATCAGCAGCATCGGCCCTGAGCTTGGCGTCAGTCACAGGGGGTCGCTCCATGGATAGTGGTACGGCGAGCTCTGGCGGCATTTGGTCCCTGTCCTCCTTGCTGTATTCCTGGGGGCAGGGGACCCACATGGGAGAGGAGGTGAGGGGAGGGGAGAGACACACACATGGGGGAGAGGGGAGGGCAGAGGCCCTGAGCTTGGCATCGGTCACAGGAGGTCGCTCCATGGACAGTGGTACTGCCAGCTCGGGCAGCATCTGCTCCCTGTCCTCCTTGCTGTATTCCTGGGAGGGGGGCATGGGGGAGGAGGTGAGTGACACGGGGCGAGATTGTGTGGACTGGAGAGTGCATGACTGACAGTGGTACGGCCAGTCCAGGTCTGTTGACATCTGGGGGAGTGGGGAGAGGGGAGGGGGGAGAGGGGAGGGGGGAGAGGGGAGGGGGGAGAGGGGAGGGGGGAGAGGGGAGGGGGGGGGAGGGGAGGGGGAAGAGGGGAGGGGGGGGGAGGGGAGGGGGGGGGGGAGGGGAGGGGGGGAAGGTCCGGTAGCATGAGCTTGTGCAGCCTGGAGAGTGCGTGACGGTGGTATGGCGGCGTGATCATCGAAGCAGCAGGAAAGGCCTAAGGCAGCAGCAGGAAGAAGAGATTATGGGAGAGGAGCAGCAGCAGCAGCAGGGCATGAGCAGCATTGGGGCATGAACGAGCTGGTTTTTGAGAATTCTCAAAAACCAGCAGCACGAAGAAGAGATTATGGGAGAGGAGCAGCAGCAGCAGCAGCAGCAGGGTATGAGCAGCATTGGGGCATGAGCGGCAGCACACGCTTTTTGAGGCGCCTCAAAAGTCGCTATTTGAGGCGCCTCAAAAGGCATGAGCTGCATTGGGGCATGAGCGGCAGCACACGCTTTTTGAGGCGCCTCAAAAGTCGCTATTTGAGGCGCCTCAAAAGGCATGAGCTGCATTGGGGCATGAGCGGCAGCACACGCTTCGATACACCACCACCCAACCCAACACACCTCCACTCCCTACACTCACTCTCGTGCCAGGCAGTGGCAGCAGCAGCAACGGCCAGAGCAGGTCAGCAAGGAGCAACAAGGAGGGCATTAGCTGCTGCAACACACATCTTGATACAGCTCCCCCGAAGCAACCCCCCCATTCACTCACTCTTGTGCCGGCTAGGGGCAGCAGCAGCGACGGCCAGAGCAGGTCAGCAAGGAGCAGCAGCGAGGGCAGCGCCCCAGAACTAGCATCAAAGCAGCAATTTCTAACCGTTGCCATGGCCTGACGAGGAGAGTGGGTGGGTGGAGAAGAGAAGAGAAATGGGTGGGAGGGCTCAGGTCAGCATGCAGCAGTGAAGGCAGGGCCCCGGAACTAGCATCAAAGCAGCAGTTTCTAACCGTTGCCATGGTCTGATGGGGCAAGGGGGTGGGTGGGGAGGAATGGCGGGTGCAAAAGGGCAGGTCAGCAAGCAGCAGCAGCGAGGGCAGGGCCCCAGAAATCACATCGAAGCAGCAATTTCGGACCGTGGCCATGGCCTGACGAGGAGAGTGGGTGGGTGGAGAAGAGAAGAGAAATGGGTGGGAGGGGACCGTGGCCATGGCCTGATTCGATTTTTGAGTCGACTCAAAAATCGACTCACTACACGTGGCCATGGCCTGATGGGGGGGAAGGGAGAGGAAAGGTGAGTTAAAGGGAAGGGTGGGTGGGGGAGAGCAGGTAAGCAAGGAGTAGCAGCGAGGGCAGGGCCCTGGAACTCGCATCAAAACAGCAGTTTCTGACAGTTGCCATGGCCTGGGGAGGAGAGGGGGAGAGGGAGTAGGTAAGTGAGAGAGAGGAAGGGTGGGAGGGGGAGGGGGCAGGTCAGCAAGAAGCAACAGCGAGGGCAGCACTTCTGAATGAGCATCGAAGCTAGAAGAACTGACGAGTGCCAACAGGGGTGTATCTAGAAGAATGATGAGAGAACACTCGCTCACCCCTTGGCTGCAGATTTGTTTCGGAGAGTATGTCTGGGGCAGGATCAGTCTCAGTAACTTCTTTTCCGGGTCCAGAAGCACGATTCTAAACTTTTTGAAAACTCCTTGGCTCACTCGCTCACCCCTTGGCTGAGTAAAAAAAAAAAAAAAAAAAAAAAAAAAATCTTGAAAACTCTCTAAACGACTCACCCCTGACTGCGGATTCGATTTGAAGACGAGGTTTGGGGCAGGATCTGTCTTAGGAGCTTCTTTTCTGGGTCGAGGAGCAGCTTCCTGGCAGCTTCCAGGCGAGTGGCGTTGACTAGAATGGTGGCCACGTGCTCGTACTCGTCCTCCTGCCCCTCCTCCCTGTCGGCACTCATGGCGAATCGCCTTGTGAGCGAGGCGAGGAGCGGCACGGACCCACTGGGCTGGATTCAAAAGGGAAGAGGGGCGAAGGGAGGAGGGGGAAGGGGAAAAGGATGGTGGCCACGTGCTCGTAATCGTCCTCCTGCCACTCCTCCCTGTCGGCACTCATGGCGAATCGCCTTGTGAGCGAGGCGAGGAGAGGCACGGACCCACTGGGCTGGATTCAAAAGGGAAGAGGGGCGAAGGGAGGAGGGGGAAGGGGAAAAGGATGGTGGCCACGTGCTCGTAATCGTCCTCCTGCCACTCCTCCCTGTCGGCACTCATGGCGAATCGCCTTGTGAGCGAGGCGAGGAGAGGCACGGACCCACTGGGCTGGATTCAAAAGGGAAGAGGGGCGAAGGGAGGAGGGGGAAGGGGAAAAGGATGGTGGCCACGTGCTCGTACTCGTCCTCCTGCCCCTCCTCCCTGTCAGCACTCATGCGCCTTGTGAGCGAGGCTACGAGAGGGACGGACCCACTGGGCTGAGTCAGATTCGCCAGCAGCATCACCATCAACCCCGCATTCTTCCCCTTCCCAACTCCCCCCCCTGCCCCTCCCCCTGCTGCTCCCCCGCCTGTTCTGCCTATCCCCCATCGAATCCCCACAGCTCTTACCTCAAGAAGCTTCTCTGCTCCTTCGTCCAGCTGAGTCAGATTCGCCAGCAGCATCACCATCAACCCCGCATTCTTCCCCTTCCCGCCTCCTCCCCCTCCTGCTCCCCCTCGTCCCACGGCCATCCCCCCTGCTGTCTCCACCCCCCTCGCTTTAATCACAGCCTTTGCTGCCACATCGTGCTGGGACAGGTTCACCAAAGCTTGAGCGGATGGGAGGGATATTTCCTGAATTACGGAGGTGTGGGAGAAGGGGCGTAGTGAAGAGAATTGGGGGGAAGAATGTAAGAGAGACCAAGCGGTTGCTGCTGCTGCCACACTGTGCTGAAACAGAGCGGCCGGCAGGGAGAGTTGCTGAGAGAGGGAATGAGGGAGGTGTGTGACGAAGTGGGGGGGAGGGGGGGAGAGCGAAAGGCGGGCAAGGGGAATCAATCGTCAGAGAGTGAAAAAGGGGTTGCTGTTGCTGCCATGCCGTGCCGAAAGGATTTGCGAGGAGCCTGAGAAGGAACAAGGGGATCACGTCACAAGGGGATCACGTCACAAGGGGATCACGTCACAAGGGCCTTTTGTTTTGTCCAAGTGCCTTGAAAATGCCACCACGCTGTGAAGTGAGGGTGTTTTTGAGACGTCTCAAAATGCTACCACCCTCACTTCACGTACTGAAAATGCTACCACGCTGTGCTGAAAGGATGGAGAGCGCTTGAGAAGGAACAAGGGGATCATATGACAAGGGCCTGAGCAGATGACAGTACAGGTTTGGACAGGGGTGGGGATGGGGATGGGTGAGAAACTTAGTTTTGAGGCGCCTCAAAACTTGAGAGCCTGGGAAGGAACAAGGGGTTCATATGATATGACAAGAACCTGAGCAGATGGCAGCACACGTTTGGATTGAGGGGATGGGTGAGGAAGCATAAACGCTTACATGGCCCCTTGTGAATGCTTGCCCTGCCTGACACTGGCCTTTATGAGTCCCTTGTAAACCTCAGGCTCAGCGTGGTTCACTAGGGCTTGAGCAGATGGCAGCACGCGTTTGGGTCGAGGAGATGGGTGAGGAACCATAGGGAAGAGTGGGGAGGGACGTGGGCCGCACCTTATTGGCTGAGAGCAGCGGCAGCAGGGCAGCGGCTATGACGTCAGCCTCTGGTAACAGTTTGCTGAGACCCTCGTCTGAGCCGGTTAGGCCAGCCACTATTCCCACTGCCATGCGCTGCACCTGGCATGGCGGGATGGGGGGGCGGGTAGGGGGAAGGAGTAGGAGTTGGCGGATGGGTAATGGGGGCACTGACCTTTTGGAGAGAAGATCGGAAGGGTTTAAGAGGGATCATATGGGTTTCGGGTTTCGGGTCTAGATTCGTGAAGCGGAACAACGAGAGAGAGAGAGAGAGATAAGAGGGTGAGTGGAACTGACGAGACCTAACGGGGAGAAAGGGCTCGTTACAGGGTTTCGGGTTCGTTACATTACAGGACGGACGGCATGACGGCATGACGGCATGACGGCATGAGGGCTTGACAAGAAGAAAGCGTTGAACGGTTGTCTACGTTATCTCTTGTTCACCCGACAGGAACATCACGGAAATGCGAAGGTACATACGACGAAGCTTTAAGGGAACCCCTGGTCATGGCGAGAGCAAGACGGTGACGCTTGATTTGACCCGATCGTCATGATCAAGTGATAAGAGCGAGTAGACTGTGCAAAAAAGAGTACCTCTGGAGATAGAGGTGTACCTCTGGTCGCGGCGAGAGTAAGAAGCCAACTAGCTCTTGCACTTCGGCCATTCTAGCCGGCTATCTGACCGGAAACGGCGGCGGGGCTTGATGCGACTTGTCCGAAGTTGGTCGACACGTTAGGGGAACTTTAAAACCCGCGTCTCATAATTTCTACCATATTACACTTGGTTGGGAGTGGGCTCCTGGGATTGGTGCACGAGCAGCGAAATTTCTGCACGAGAGGAGGGGTGATTTGGGCGAAACCTAAACACTGTACCCTCAACACCAAACCTAACGCCCTAACCTGTTGACACACCCAAACCAGGACTACATGTTCGGTGGTTTGAAAATCCCGGCGACAAACCCAGGCGACGGAACACATTTTCAGGAGTTGGGCCTCCCCTCCAGCACATCGTCATCCACTCCAGCCCCTCCCCGTTTTAGAGTAACATAGCGTCATTTCTGCTCCCTGCCTCGTGAAAATCTCTCACTTCTAGCCTCGTGAAAAGCTCCCCCATCTAGCTACAATGTCTCTAATGTCGGACCGAGCGGATAATATACACGTCGCACGTGGAATGTCGGAATCCTACGATGCCGTTTTCAAACAGAGAGGCGCCCTGGAAATCGCTCGTGAGAAAATCACTGCGCGCGATTTACACCCGGTTTCACACCCGCCTCTGCTTCACGCGCATTGGCCTCGACGGTATGCCACCCCAATACCACGGCTTCCTTTCCCGTCAAGTTCCCTTCCCGCGCCCTCCTTTCCCGTCGCCCGCGCAACATTCCCGTCGCCCACCCTACCCGTTGCCCGCGCTTCTTCCCGTCGCCGTCCGTAATATTCGTCAGTCTCCCGTCGGCTCGTCCCATCGTTTTCCCTGTCTCCCTCTCTCTCCGTCGCCCTCGCAATCCGGGTCTCCCTCTCTCCCCCTCGCCCTCGCTTTCCCCGTCAATGAGGCACCGCCGCCCTCCCTTTCCCCGTCGCCCTGCCATCCACTGCTCGTCTCCCTCGCCTTCCCTCCCGCCTCCCTTCCCATCTCGCACGCGTGTCACCCTACGTATTCTCCCCCTACTCACTCTGTTCCCTCACTCCAATAATCGCCTTCCTTCCGCCCACTTATTTCCCTTCCATGCTTCCCCCCGTCCCCTGCCCTGGTTTCCCCCAGCCCGTGCCCTGCTTCCCCCCCTCCCCGCCTCCTCTACCCCCCATCCACCTCCCTGCGTCCCCCCATCCTCTTCATTCATTCCCCACCTCCCAAGCCCTGCTTCCCCCCATCCGCATTTCTGCTTCCCCCCCTCCCCATCCATGCTTCCCCATGTCCTCTTCCCTGCTTCCCCCCCTCCCCATCCATGCTTCCCCATGTCCTCTTCCCTGCTTCCCCCCCTCCCCATCCATGCTTCCCCATGTCCTCTTCCCTGCTTCCCCCCCTCCCCATCCATGCTTCCCCATGTCCTCTTCCCTGCTTCCCCCCCTCCCCTTCCCTGCGTCCCCCCATCCCCTTCCCTGCTTCCCCCCATCCCCTTCCCTGCTTCCCCCCATCCCCTTCCCTGCTTCCCCCCATCCCCTTCCCTGCTTCCCCCCATCCCCTTCCCGTCTTCCCCCCATCCCCCTCCCTGCGTCCCCCCATCCTCTTCATTCTTTCCCCTTCTCCCAAACCCTGCCCCCCCCCATCCGCATTTCTGCTTCCCCCCATCCCATCCCCTGCCCAGCTTCCCCCTATCCCCTTCCCGTCTTCCCCCCATCCCCTGCCCTGCTTCCCCCCATCCCCTGCACTGCTTCCCCCCATCCCCTGCCCTGCTAAACCCCCATCCCCTTCCCTGCTTCCCCCCATCCCCTTCCCGCGTTCCCCCTATCCCCCTCCCTGCTTCCCCTCACCCCCATCCCTGCTTCCCCCCATCCCGTGCCCTGCTTCCCCCCATCCCCTTCCCGCCTTCCCCCCATCCCCCTCCCTGCGTCCCCCCATCCTCTTCATTCTTTCCCCTTCTCCCAAACCCTGCTCCCCCCCATCCGCATTTCTGCTTCCCCCCATCCCCTGCCCAGCTTCCCCCCAGCCCCTGCCCTGCTTCCCCCCAGCCCCTGCCCTGCTTCCCCCCATCCCCTTCCCTGCTTCCCCCCGTCCCCTTCCCGTCTTCCCCCCATCCCCCTCCCTGCGTCCCCCCATCCTCTTCATTCTTTCCCCTTATCCCAAGCCCTGCTTCCGCCCATCCGATTTTCTGCATCCCCCCCTCCCCTTCCCTGCTTCCCTGCAGTGTCTCCTCGACCGCCACTCCACTTTGCTCCCCACACATTTCACCGCCCTCCCGCCATAGTCCATTCAGGCCAATTCCCTCCCCCCACCTCCTTCGGTCTGCATCCCTCCACATCCCCCTCCCCATCCCCCTCCCCACCACCAGGCTTCCGCCCTGCTAGTATGGCATCGGTCGCCACGCTTCTGTGACACCTCTGTTCGCGTGCACATCGGCCTGTGATGCAGTCTACTGCACCGCACATCACCGTCACATTTTGTCCATTGATGGTATGTGCGTGGATGGGTGGGTGCGTGGGTGGGTGCGCGGGTGTGTGGGTGGGTGGGTGGGTGTGTGGGTGGGTGGGTGCATGCCTATGAGTGTGCATGTCTGTGTGCATGCATGTCTATGTGCACGCATGTCTATGTGCATGCTTGTATGTGCCTGCTTGTTTGCTTGCTCTCACTCCCCTGTTTGATTGCTCCCGTCTGCTAGCACTTCTGCCAGTGCGCTCCTCGCCCTTCCTGCTGCCCATTTATTCCCGCCCCGCTCCTCCCCCTCACCCCGCTGCATTCTGGACAGAGTCTATTCCCCCTCTGCTTCACCCCTTCCCCTCCACAGTCTAGTGCACATGGTGGTGAAGGACAGGGTGGGGGGATTCTTCGCCTCTTGGGAACACGCACCTTGCTCCGCCTCACTACACCATTCCCTGCCTCTTCCCCCTCCACTACCCCCCCTCCCCTCCGTGCTTCTGCTAGCATCCCTCCTGCTGCTCCCTCTGTTTTGTCCTCTCCTGCAATCCCCTTCCAACACAGGCGCACCGCTTGCACCCCGCTCACACTACTCCGTGTACCCACCCACTGTGTCTCGGATCTCAGCAGCATCAGTTCCCACTGTTGGTGTTAGGTTGGAGAGGATGGTACAAAGAGGAGGGGGAGAGCGCTGAATGTGCGACGAGCGGAGGGCAATAGGCACAGGATGTGCATACGAGAATGGAGGGTGATCTACACACACCTCCCACCAACATCCCCCTCTGCATGAGAAGCAACTCCATCTCCCGTAATTCACTGAACGCTTTCCACTGAAAGGCCCATGTTTAGTTGCCAGGAGCTGTAGCTAACCAACCATGCTTAGTGGCTGGGTTGTGACTTGGCTGCTAGATGGTGTGAAACCCCAATTATTAGGTACTAAAGAAAGATGCTACAGATGTGTTCGTTTACTGTTGACACTACTGTTCAAGACAATGATAGAATTAATGAGACGAACCAACTTGGTGCTTGAAAATACTTGTTCTGATTTTGAAGCACTCCTCTTGGGATGCCATGTCTTCGTTGCCACAAAGACAAAACCTTGAACTGTGAACAATGGGCTACGCTTCTTTATAATGGGGGGGGGGAGGGGGGAGGGGAGAAGCTATGTAGGTTGTCCAGCCATACAGATTGGAAACAGATTGCCATACAAGTATCAAAGCACTTTATTGAATTAGGGTCAGAGACATGCTGCCGAGAGTGTAAATGTACTGCACTATGTGCAGGGATTATGCGTCTTAGCATAGTACTGAAGCTCATCCTCAACTTCCCCTGCGGAAAATTGGACGGTTGCGACATGCTCTGAGGAAGGTTGTGTTGTGCCCTTATGCGAAGAGAAAGGGGATCTAGCGGGGCAGACAGGCAGAGGCGCGCCTCACACCTGATGAGTGCGCCACCAGACCACACCTGGGAGGCGCCTGCGGGGGAAGTGTGGGGGGAGAGGGGTTGGGGTGAGAGGAAGAGAAGGGGGATCTAGCGGGGCAGACAGGCAGAGGCGCGCCTCACACCTGATGAGTGCGCCACCAGACCACACCTGGGAGGCGCCTGCGGGGGAAGTGTGGGGGGAGAGGGGTTGGGGCGAGAGGAAGAGAAGGGGGATCTAGCGGGGCAGACAGGCAGAGGCGCGCCTCACACCTGATGAGGGGGCCACCAGACCACACCTGGGAGGCGCCTGCGGGGGAAGTGTGGGGGGAGAGGGGTTGGGGTGAGAGGAAGAGAAAGGGGATCTAGCGGGGCAGACAGGCAGAGGCGCGCCTCACACCTGCTGAGTGCGCCACCAGACCACACCTGGGAGGCGCCTGCGGGGGAAGTGTGGGGGGAGAGGGGTTGGGGCGAGAGGAAGAGAAGGGGGATCTAGCGGGGCAGACAGGCAGAGGCGCGCCTCACACCTGATGAGTGCGCCACCAGACCACACCTGGGAGGCGCCTGCGGGGGAAGTGCAGGGGGGAGAGGAGGAGCCGTCGTGATAGGGAGAGCAGGGGGGTTGCGGGGCAGTCAGGCAGACAGGCGCCTCACACCTGCTTAGGGGGGGATGCGGGGAGGCAGACGGATGAGAGATGAGTGGGAGCAGGTGGGGATATGAGAGGGAATAGGAAGGAAACGAGAGGGTGAAGGGGTTAAAATGGGAGGGCTAAAATGGGGGATATGAGAGGGGTGAGATGGGAAGTGATAAGTAAGGGAACGAGGCACTGACCATGCCTCTTCATCCCCACACTCGTAATCCTTTCCCTCCTCCCCACCCCAGCATCCGTCAAAATAGCTACATTGCCCACCCCTTTACCATCCGCTCGTAAGCCCTCATTTTCCGCTTACCTCGGTCCGTTCAGGTTCCGTACTCCCCAGTCCCGTACGCCCTCCACATTTTCCCACGGTTTCCCGTGCTCAGCCACTCGCATTCGGGAACACACCAGGCCTCTACCCGTTGGCATATCCCCCCTCTGAGCCAGCTCACTCTAACCTTTCCCCATCCCGTTTTTCGTGGACCCTCCACAGTGCGCGCGTGGTTCTCGCGAGAACCAGTCCCCACTGACCTTCTCCAGCGGCGGCTCCCTCCATTTTTTTTATTTCAGGCAGACGCCGTACATGGTTGGTGTTCGCGTGGCTCGCGCTAGGTTATTGAGGCCCTCTTTCTCGTGCGCTTCCCTCAACGCTCACCAAGCATTACAACAATGTAAATTACGGAGAGGCATATTTTCTGCATGTTGTTATTTGCCTCGTTCGTCATATTCTCTCCCGCTCACCCTCTAAACAGGCAGAGACCGATGCGGCAGTTGCACGCGACGATAAATGTTAGGAGGCGCTGTGCCGATGATGTGCGTGAGGAGCCTGGTGTACCAATCGCGGCCTGCGGGAAACTAGCCCAAGTTCTACGAGACGCCTTTTACCTACAGCGAGAGGTGAATGCTACTCGGAGGTCGAACGACAGAAGCACCGGACTTGACGAGTCTCCTAATTCTGTTTTAGTTTATGCGATACGGCTGTGGTAGTCGCCCTGTTCTAGCGTAATACGCTTGGTAGGCATTTTGACTGGCGAGATGGAAAGCTGTGTGAAATGCAGTCTCTATATTTCCCTGCTTGGGTAATATGGTTGATCTCGCGGTGGGAGACTTTCGCATAGCGAGGTGGTGTCGCACGACTGAACCACAAACTTGTCGCTCTGTATCCTCAGGTGCTTTTCCAGACCTTGGTTTGGTGCACGTTCGATTGCTGGCCCTCCCTGGTTGGGTCACGACAATATTTCTAGCCGAGCACAAACCCAACCAGCCCCCAAGCCTGTGCAAACCGCAGGTGTAGTTTGGCGACGGGAACCCTGTTACCAGTTTTCCATCATATTACACTTGGTCGAAAGGGCGGAAATATGAGACGCGGGCTTTAAGGATGCACGCAAATTCTGGAATTTACCCTTTAAGAACTTACCATAGCCTGGTAACGTAGATACTTTACTACTGCACTCTTTTATAGGAAAAGAAACGAAGCAGCTATTACTGAGTTATTCATCAGTTTGCCATACAGTGCCTCCCCGGTTTTCCGCACCCCTCCCACGTCCTCAAGGGCCAGAATTATCCAATTTCGAGGCGCGTGACTGGCACACTCGTGACTGGTGGAAGCAAGAGGGGTTGATTTGAATTCACGCATTTCCCGTGATTCGTTCAGAAAATTCTTTGCAATGCTGGACAAGCCAGATCGCGAGCATCCCTGGGTTCTGGAAGACCACTGCATTCGGCGCTTTCGTCTCACGGAATCCACCGTGGACCTCTCAGAAAGCACAAGCAAGATGCTGATGTGCTACGCGTCAACATCTAGCTTGTCCATGTCACTACAATAGACGCACTTTTCTGGAAACATGGGTGCAACGAAGGTGTTACGTCAGCACTGACAGGAGGCGCTAGTGTTCACATCAAGATTCTAGTTCCCGACTTTCCCGCGCGTTGTTCTCGAGACTTCTATATTCGTCTTTTATTCGTCAAGCACGTCAGTTCCTATCAGTTGGAGTTTCAATCTAATTTTGTCGATTAAAAGCTTGATCGCTTGTTCGCGCGTTCGCCGCTGATACAACCACCTGTTCGCTGTAGCGTACCTGAGAAGCTAGCTGTCTTTGCCATCACAGGCTTGCTTTTCTCTAAGCCTGTTCAAGTGATTTCGTGCGAGAGGAGAAGCATACACGGTGTAACAGGGAACTTGGGGATAGACCAGGGGTTTACACAAAGGTTGCGTGATTAAGGTTTATCTTCAATCGCTTCACGGCGCGTGAAAATATAACAGAAAGAACAGCCGGCACAGCGGGCGCGGACGCGTTTCTCTCTACAATGCCCCCACACCTCCAGCAGCCCTCGTGCTTTGGCAGGGATACAAGAATGGAGTCTTCTGAATCCGTCGCAGTCACGCTCGATACAGTCACAGTCGACTCAGAACGCTACCGTCCGCTTCCAAGCGGCGAGCCTCAAATGCGAAAAGTCACCGAGTCGCGAGGAAACTCGCGGTTCGGATCCATCGTGTACAAGACGCAAGAGGGTCTCGAAGCTCCCTTGCTGGGCGATAAAGCGGCCGCGGGAAGAGGCGACTCGGATTCAGACACCTTTTATGGGAAGGATGTTGAACGCGCCGCGGGCGGGGTTGGCGGCGCGGGAGAAGCGGAGCGCGCAAAGGGAATACGAGGCGAGGAGGAGTATCGGCGGATCGAACATAGGGGAAACAGCGGGTTTATCGACAGCGTATTTAACGGCATCAATGTTCTCGCAGGTGAGTGGCTTGTTGCAAATTTGTATATTTTGGGCGACTCTTTTGTTTACAAAGCGCCATAGAAAATAAAGAAAAGTATAGTCCGGAAAGTAAAATAACAAGACATAAGCCCACAAAACAGAAAAAAAAGGCCGAGTCGCGAATGCAGCTTCTTAGTCCTTTTTACGTTCCCTCTTCTTCCCCTACCCTCATCCCTCCCCCCACCCCCCTACCCCCTTCCCCCCGCCGTGCCCTGCCCTCCCCCACAGGCATCGGCATTCTCTCAACGCCGTACGCCACGGCGCAAGCAGGCTGGCTGGGTCTCCTCGTGCTGCTCTTTTTCGCCGCTGCCTGCTGCTACACCGCCATCCTGCTGCGCCGATGCATGGACTTCCGACCATCATCATCAGCCTCCGCGTTTCCGTCCGATTCGTCGCTTCGCTCATTCGCGGACGACCCCGCCGCTCCGCACTCCGCCGCCTCCGCGCGCGCCTCCGCCCGCGCGTCCCCCCGCATCGTGCGCGCGCCGCGCCCCATCCGCTCGTACCCGGACATCGGGGAGGCGGCGTTCGGGCGCGCGGGGCGGTGGCTTACCGCGTTTCTGCTCTACTTCGAACTGTACGCCGTGACTGTAGAGCTGTTGATTCTAGAAGGGGACAATCTGGCACATCTGTTCCCATCCGGCGATATTTGTCTGCTTCCGGGGAGCCTGGTTGGAAAGGGGAGCAGTGGAGTGGTGGAGAGCGGTGGAGCGTGGTTTCTAGAAGGAATAGCACGAGGAGGAGGAGTGGGAGGGGTAGGAGGAGAGGGGCAAGGAGAAGGGATCTTGGGAGCAGCAGCGGCATTGGCATCAGCAGTTGCGAGGGGGATAGAACCAGCTTTAGAGGCAGTTTCGTTAGCTACAAGAGCAGGCAACCTATGCCTAGAACCGAAGCAGTTCTACGTCATTCTATCCGCGTTATTAGTCCTCCCCACCGTCTGGCTAAGAGACCTGAGCCTTCTCGCATACATCTCAGCAGGAGGTGTACTGGCGTCCCTACTTTTAGTGTTCGGCGTGGGATGGCTTAAAGAGGTTGACCATATCGGGGATATTCCAGGCGGAATCAGCAGCACCACGGAATGGTTGAAACCCATGGGGTTACCAGCAGCAGCCGGTTTATTCGGATTCTGTTTCTCTGGGCACGCGGTCGTGCCGAATATTTACCGATCGATGAAAAAACCGGACCATTTTACGCCGGTTATGCTCGTGAGTTTTGTGGCGTGCACTCTGCTTTATGGCGGGATGGCTCTTATGGGGTACGCCATGTTCGGGGCGTCTGTGCAATCTCAGATCACGCTTAACTTGCCGCCGGCACTTAGTGCTTCCAAGGCGGTGGTTTGGACTACAGTGGTGAATCCCTTCACTAAGTTCGCGCTTACCCTGCTGCCGATTGCTCTGGCTTTAGAAGAAACCCTCCCCACTGCCCACCCCCACCCACTCCCTCACTCTGACTCGCATTCTCACTCTACCCAAGAGGGGGTTGTGTCTGCTGAAGGTGATGCTGACGTCATAGAAGGAGGCAGCCGAGGCACAGGCTCAGGAACAGGCACGGAAACAGGCACGGAAACAGGCACGGGATTGGAAGCAGGCTCGGACACGGGCATGGGCAAGGGTATAGACATGGGTACGGGTGTGGATTCGTGGCAGCACATAGCATCGGCCACAGCCCTCCGGACGGCACTAGTGGCTGGCGCAGTTGCCGTAGCTCTCTCCGTCCCGTTTTTCGGGCTCGTGATGGCGTTCATCGGAAGCTTCCTGTCGCTTTCCATTTCTGTCATGCTCCCGTGCGCGTGTTATGTGAAGCTTATGGGTGGGCCATGGAGGGAAGGGGGGAGATTAGGGTGGGGGGAGGTGGTGGGGGTGATGGGGTTGTTCCTGGTTGGTTTGCTGGCTGCTGCGTCTGGGACGTTCTATGCTGTCAGGGGGATTACAGACGAGTGGTGATGGGTGGATTGGTGATTATTCTGCTAATTTTGTCATGAGGATACCGTAGGTTGTTGTTCCTGGTTGGTTAGCTGGCGGCTGCATCGGGGACGTTCTATGCGGTTAGGGGGGTTACAGATAAGTGGTGATGGGTGAACCTCAGGGTCTTGGGTGGAGACGGGGGAGGTGGTGGGGGTGATGGGGTTGTTCCTGGATGGTTAGCTGGCGGCTGCATCGGGGACGTCCTGTGCTGTTAGGGGGGTTACAGACGAGTGGTGATGGGTGGACTATTCTAGCCTTACATCAAACAGGTTTGGGTGGGGTGATAGCACGGCTTCGTGGTAACAGGGTTGCAATGGCCCTCTTTTGCAATGGCCCAGGGGGGGAGGCAAGGAACGGGAAAGGGGGGAAGGTACCTATGTACCATGTGTGGTGGCTGCTGCTGCCTTCTGATTTTAGCCACACGGTGGCTGATGCATTTTCCTTCTAATGTTGCTTGTTGCGGTTTGTTGCATTGGATGGGATGTGATACCATCCCATAGTGTATTGCAGTCGTGCCAAAGTTCTATCCAGTTTCCATGCATGGCTCTCATCAGGCATCTCAGAATAACCATGTGGTAACTATTGACAGCGAGGCACAAGCAGAACGGTAGTACCACCATTAGGGCTCTAGGCTCCTGTGCATGTGCATTGCTTCACAGACATTACAAATTCACGTCCTGCATCAACCCCACTATTCCTGCCACGCTCCCTGGTACCAACACAGCATCTGATACAATGCTGCTTCAGTAGTCAACTCAACAACACCAGTGACTGAAATCACACAATACATTGCTTGCTTCACGTGTGCAGTACAAAGTCACGTCTTGCAACAACCCCTCTACTCCTGCCTTCTCCCCACCACCAGTACAGCATCGAGGCAATGCTGCTTCAGCAGTTGCAAGTGTCAAGTCACACTAGCTAGTGAAAGCTGCATGGAGGTGAGATTGGAACCCCAACCTTACCCCCATGAACCATCCTTCCAGCCTGGTTGCTCAGGCAGAGAACCTTCCTTTCCAACATGACCACTCCACCCTCCCTGCACTGCCCTCAGGCTTATTGGAATCTCAGGACCAGGAGACTGGCCTAGCCCACGCCTATGCTTGTATCGCTTTTGTGAGACGCCCAACCGAACAGTGATACAAGCATAGCCCGCGGCTATGCCTACGCTATGCCTAGGCACGCCAGGCGAGGCACTTGGAGGGCTTGAGTGAGTCCCCATCCCCCTTCTGCAGGCTCTTGGGCAGGATGACGTCATCCACCCCATGCACCTGCACCACTCGCAGCGAGATGACGTCAGCGGCCACCACGGAAGCTTCCTGCGGGCCGTCCTTGGCCTGCACCTCGAGTGGCTCGGCGCCGCGAGGTGACACCTTCACCAGACGAGCCTTGCACCCGCCTGCCGCTGCCTTGAGCTGTATCAGGGACGAGATAAGGCGAGAATAGGGTTTAGAGTGGTTGGGAGGGATTGGGTGCCGTAGGAGGATGTCAGATCCTCACAATGATGGATAGGTCACACAATGGGGCATGGATGGTTGTTGGTTGCGCTCCTAGGCGAGGCAGTAGAAAACCATGGTGTCACAAGATGATGCGGAACGAATTGGCATGTGACTGCAGCAATACCACGTTGCGCCATTCCAGGCAGCCACCCAAAGCCGCTTCCCTTCTTCTTTATCATATCAGATCACTCCATTGGTGGTGATATCAGTCTCACCTGCTTTCCCTTTTGGCAGCGCCATCAAATCAGCAGCGGTCAACTTCTTCTGCACCACGTGCAGCAGCAGCACCTTATCTGTTCCAGTCGCACACTCAACCCACACCCCTCGCAAACCCCACTATCATGTCTCACCTGCTTCCCTTGCGGGAGGGCCATGAGCTCAGCGGCAGTAAACTTCTTCTGCACCACGTGCAGCAGCAGCACCTCGCGAAGCACCTTGTCGTCCTTAATCGCCTTCTTCGTGTCATTCGAGAGCTCCTCGAACGCCGCGTCTGTGGGCGCGAAGAGCGTCGCCTCGTAGCAGTTGAACAGGTCGGGAAGGTCCTTGTCCAGGTCTGGATTGATTGAGTGAATTAATACAGGAAAGGTAGAGGGTACACGGGTTGAAGGTGACGGTGGGTGAGGGACGACGCCTTCTCGGTGGGGGCGAAGAGCGTCGCCGCGTAGCAGTTGAAGAGGTCAGGAAGGTCCTCGCCCAGGTCTGAAAATCCGTGGAGTTGTATTCCGCGTCGGTGCGAGCGATGAGACACTTTCGTACAGGAGAGGTTACGGTACGAGCGAATTAATCGTTGCTACCACCAAGGTGAATTTCCAATTTCAAGTGAGATCAAGTCCAGGGGGGAAACAGCTCAAGTTCAGGGCTATTACGTCGTCCGTACCTGTCGTCTTGAGCGCGGCGATCAATGTTGAGTAATTTCCGGCCGCCGTGAGCTCCTTCACAAGATTGCTCACCACCAGCTTCCCGTCGAAGCGGCAGTAAGGACGGTTGCGTGCAGCCTCGGAAGGTGAGAAAGACATGGCAAAGACTGCCACCAGCAGCACATCGCCAAAATGTGAGGTCCCAAAAGCTTCCCGAAAGTATCCTGAGAGAAACTTTCGGGACATTTTGCACCCCTATCCCGAAAGGGTCTTTCGTGAACTCTGGGGTGACGGTACAAAGAGTCCTGATTATGTCCCGCAGGACTCTTCTGAACTGACCCAAAAGTCTTTTTCGGGACTGACGTGGACATTTCCCGGACATTGGGGGGACACATTTGGGACGAGTCACGAGCCAATCACCTTCGAGCGCGGTTCGGGTTATGCGGTTCGGCACATTTAGAATAAACAAAGAACATCCTGCAATTAACACTGTTAAAAATTAGCCCCAGGAAAGCGGACAGTGACAATAATGCCCTCCATTGTTCAACACAAACGACAGAGCATTTACAAACCAGGGTGCTGGTAACGCCATTACAACCTGCTGGTACCGCATTTCAATCCTGCATCATAAAAATATTTGTCATACATTTTAAGCGCTTAGCTGCATCTGCACACATCAACAAAAGCATTAGAGGTTACATCGTTAGCTTACGTACCAATGAACAGCACAAGGGAAATAAAAAATCGGACTAAAATTGACATACCGTGATTGCCATCCTTGCTTAAATCAGACCGTCAGATCACACTCCCTCGCCTAGCCGTCGCCTGCGACGAAACCAGCGACAGCCGCGCTGCTTTCGCCGCCAGTGGTGCCGCGTTCGCCCGCAGGCAGCATCATCGGCCCACGGTACACTTTGCAAACTTGCCCTCCCTCGAGTCGCGGCGTGCAGCTCCACGAAGCTGAACACGCGGAGGGGGAAACGGTGGCGCCTGCGCCGGGCGATGGGGGGAACGGAGGAGCGGGAAGCGGGAAAACTATTAGTAACTGGTAATGTTAATAAGTGTAAGAGTAGTTAGTGGCATGTCAAAACATGGCAGATACAAGACTGGCAGATCTACTAGTAGGAACCTAAGAAGTGAGAAGTCTGAGACGAGAGAAAGGAACACAGACACAAAAAACGAACAGGTATAAGAATGAGAGTGGGTTTTGCCTCGACAGATTATGACAGGTGGTCGGGTTGACTAGTTGGAATTGTGTGGTGTGCACGATCTATCTTCAGCAACAAGCTTGTGAGGACGTGTGCGTTTTTTTGGGCAGCTAGCAGGTGACAACGAGGTGTGCATGACAGGTGGCGCGAAAGTGGTGTGCCTTTCAGATGACGCTGAGTTGGCGTTCATCTGTTGGGCACATTAGGTTCGCCATCACTTCGATCGATTGTTTGGGAAGGGGGTGGGGAAGGGGACTGACGAAATTGGCGAGAAACTGAAACAGTTACCTGTGTTTCGTGTTGTGCATGCTATAAGGAGATTCGACAATATCCGTAGCCGTGAGGCATGTTTCGTGAACTCTAATTCCTTGCGTTTGAGTCGGATAGTAATTAATAATTTCAATAACGGTCGAAAACTTCGATTGTGCTTGTAATAAAATACAAACATCAACATGAACTGTAAAATAATCATACACCTGAATAAAATGTCAGAAAACAAATCCTGAATGGGCAAAAAAAAAGGTTGCCCTTCCTATGTACCGACGTCAAGATTCGAACATACGACCTTTCGGTCTACAGACTTTCGCATCCACTAGGTCATTTCAAACTGGAGTTGGTAGACGGACCGTTTTAGCACAAATTTGTCGATTTCGCGGAGAGTTTTGGGATGGGATATTTTCGGGACACTGTGTTCACTGTTCCGAATGTCTCTTTCGGGCTCGAAGACAGATCTGGGTCATTCTCGGGAGGCCCGAAAGTCTCTTGCGGGGAAGTCAAATTAGGGGGAACGATTTGGGACATCAACATTTTGGTGATGCAGAACGGCGAAGGAAGTCACTCTAGAAGCCATAACGCGAGTTGAAGATGGGAGATTACGACAGAAGATTGACGGGAATAGAAGATCGAGTAGTTTTCTAAAAAGCTGATTAAACGCAGTGTCTCAAAGTTGGTGAATGAGGGGATCAATGGAGTAACTACAAGTAGTAGTGCACCAACTCCCTTACATGCATCTGAGCCATTTCCTTAAATATGGCAGCATCCTTGCAAGAAGGTGGAGTCCACACTTCAAGGCACCATCCCTCAAGCTCACATCAGTGCATCAACTCCCTTGCATGCTGCTGAGCCATTTCCTTCACATCTCCATCAACCACCACCCCTTCCTCCTCCTCTGCTTCTCTCACCAAATCTGCAGCCGCAGCACCCTGTCCCCCTGCCACCAGTGCACGAACCATGCCCCGGACTATGGGTGGGTTAAGAGTCCACCCCAGCACCTGCATTGTCTTCCGAACCTGCAACGGAGGTTCGGAAGGAAGGGACGCACACGGCGAGCATTAGTTGAGGGACAATGTGGGCAGACTAAAGCGGCTTGTACAGTGTATGTTCTAGCAACTCGTAATCAGTCCATATACAACTCAAAGAATATGAAAAACAAGGACCTGAAGACACCTGAAAGTTCACCTGGGAGCAGCTGTCCAAGTCCCCTGCGAGCGCGTAGGCCTGGAAGAGACGAGTGTACGTCCTGGCGTTGGGCTGCAACCCCACCCTTTGCATCTCCTCAAACACCTCTGCTGCTTCCCTCACTGTGTGAGGAAAAAGGGGGGAAAAGGTTGGCGGTACGTAAGGGCGATTCAACTTTTGAGTCGACTCAAAAGACACCTCTGCTGCCTCCCTCACTGTGTGAGGAAAAAGGGGGGAAAAGGTTGGCGGTACGTAAGGGCGATTCAACTTTTGAGTCGACTCAAAAGACACCTCTGCTGCCTCCCTCACTGTGTGAGGAAAAAGGGGGGAAAAGGTTGGCGGTACGTAAGGGCGATTCAAGAACGAGAGTAAAAGGGTGATGCCAGGATGAGACAGTGTGGTCAAGGAAACGGGGCTGTAGCCCCACCCTCTGCATCTCCTCAAAAAACTCCGCTACCTCCCCCACTGCACCGGACAAAGATTTTGGATGGAAGCAGTGGTGATGCGAGAAGGGGAGAGGGAGATGAATGCAGTGTAGATCTCCATGCCTGGCCTGATGCCCGCTCCTTCCAGCTGCAACACCAGATTCACTGAGCCAGTGCACATAGACCAGCACACAGAGTGCGGATCCAACTGAGAGACAGACGGGCCAACGGGAGAGAGGGAAATGTTCCCCATATAAAAACCGCATGAACTTAGACGACTTTTGAGGCGCCTCAAAAGTCACAGAGTGCGGATCCAACTGAGAGACAGACGGGCCAACGGGAGAGAAATGAGTCTCACCCAACCCGTGGCTCGCAAAGTGGGAGATGAGAGCGGTGTAGGTCTCCACGCCTGGCCAGAAACCCACTGCTTCCAACTCCAGCACCAGCTTCAATGCCTGCCGGCACCTCAGCTTCTCCTCCTCAACTCAGAGACAGACGGGTGGAGGGAAGGAAATCATACTCACCCAACCCGTGGCTGGCAAACAGTGAGATGAGAGCGGTGTAGGTCTCCACGCCTGGCCTGATGCCCGCTCTCTCCAGCTCCAACACCAGCTTCACTGCCTGCCTGCACCTCAGCTTCTCCTCCTCAACTCAGAATCAGACGGGTGGACGGGAGAGAAGAGAGACTCACCCAACCCGTGGCTGGCAAACAAAGAAATGAGAGCCGTATAGGTCTCCACGCCTGGCCGGATACCCGCCCCCTCCAGCTCCAACACCAGCTTCACTGCCTGCCTGCACCTCAGCTTCTCCTCCTCACTCGCCTCCCTCCTCCCCACTCCCACCCCCTCTTCCCCTCTCCTCCCCTCCCCTCCCTCCTTTCCTCCCTCCTCGCCTCCCGCTGCTCCTCCCACTGCTCCTCCCTCCACCCCTCCAGCCAGCAGCGCCAGCTGTCGGTCCAGCTGTCTGTCCATGCTGCCATGCGCCTCCACAAGCCGGGCCACAGAGCGGTCGTCAGGGGCCAGCCCCGCAGCCAGCATGCGCTTGAACGCTGCTACTGCCTCATCTGTGCGCCCGTTCAATCCGAAGGCTGCTGACAGGGCCGTGAATACATGGCAGTCCGGTTTAATGTCGGTCTGGGCCTGCAGAATGGGGGTGGGAAAGGGGAGGGGACGGGAGGGGTTGGAATGAAGGGGGCAAGGGGGAGAGATCAAGAGTGGGCCTCCACCAGCCGTGCTACGGACCGGTCGTCAGGGGCCAGCCCTGCAGCCAGCATGCGCTTGAACGCTGCTACTGCCTCGTCTGTGCGCCCGTTCAATCCGAAGGCTGCTGACAGGGCCGTGAATACATGGCAGTCCGGTTTAATGTCGGTCTGGGCCTGCAGCATGGGGGTGGGAAAGGGGAGGGGACGGGAGGGGTTGGAATGAAGGGGGCAAGGGGGAGAGATCAAGAGTGGGCCTCCACCAGCCGTGCTACGGACCGGTCGTCAGGGGCCAGCCCTGCAGCCAGCATGCGCTTGAACGCTGCTACTGCCTCGTCTGTGCGCCCGTTCAATCCGAAGGCTGCTGACAGGGCCGTGAATACATGGCAGTCCGGTTTATTGTCCGTCTGGGCCTGCAGAATGGGGGTGGGAAAGGGGAGGGGACGGGAGGGGTTGGAATGAAGGGGGCAAGGGGGAGAGATCAAGAGTGGGCCTCCACCAGCCGTGCTACGGACCGGTCATCAGGGGCCAGCCCCGCAGCCAGCATGCGCTTGAACGCTGCTACTGCCTCGTCTGTGCGCCCGTTCAGCCCGAACGCGGCTGAGAGCGCCGTGAATGTGTGGCAGTCCGGTTTTATGTCCGTCAAGGCCTGCAGCATTAAGAAGGGGTGAGAAGGGGGCAGCGCCGCAGCCAGCATGCGCTTGAATGCTGCCACTGCCTCGTCTGTCCTGCCACTCAGGCTGAAGGTGGCTGAGAGGGCTGCCTCGTCTGTCCCGACTTGTCACAAACACAGCACCGAAAGACCTACCCTCGGTCACCCACTCACCAGCACTTAGTCAAACACCCTTTGGGCGTCATCAGGGCGGCCAGCCAGCCTGAAGGCTGTGAAAAGCGAGCAGAGAGTGACAGGGGAGGGCTTGCAGGCAGCAGCGAGCATGGCGTCTAGCAGCTCTTCTGCCTTGTATGGCTGCCCCGCATTGCCACACACAGCTGTGCTCTGCTGCCCCACCTTGCCTGGTCACGCACACAGTGACACAGCACTGGAAGACACGCTCTAGCCCACTCGCTCACCAGCACTTTGTCAAACACCCTCTGGGCGTCGTCAGGGCGACCGGCCAGCTCATAAGCAGTAACCAGGGAACACAGAGTGACAGGAGAGGGCTTGCAGGCAGCAGCGAGCATGGCATCCAACAGCTGCTCCGCCTTGTCTGGCTGCCCCGCATTGCCTGGCTGGCTGCCCCGCCTTGCTGTACACACAGCACCCAGAACCTGGTAACCCCCCCCACTCAGCAGAAACCACGGGTTCTAGCAGCCCTGCTCCACTCACCAGCACTTTTTCAAACACCCTCTGGGCGTCGTCAGGCCGACCGGCCAGACCGAAGGCTGTAACAAGCGAGCAGAGAGTGACCGGGGAGGGCTTGCAGGCGGCAGCGAGCAAGAATCCCAGCCTCCTTACAACCAGCCAGCCCCTGCAGTTTACTCACCAGCACTTTGTCAAAGACCCTCTGGGCGTCGTCAGGGCGGCCAGCCAGCCCATAAGCAGTAACCAGGGAGCAGAGAGTGACAGGGGAGGGCTTGCAGGCAGCAGCGAGCATGGCGTCTAGCAGCTGCTCTGCCTTGTCCGGCTGCCCCGCCTTGCCATAGACGGTCATCATGGTGGTGTATGCCTTGGCGTCAGGAGTAATGCCACGCAGCCTCATTTCCTCCCATGCCGCCTCTGCCTTTTCCACCTGTAATAAATAGCAGGGGTGGGCGGCGGACGGGTAGGTGGGAGGGTTGAGAGTAATTATGAGTCCAGTGCACACAGTAAGCACTTGTCGAGCTGCCCTGCCTTGCCATAGACGGTCATCATGGTGGTGTATGCCTTGGCATCGGGTGTTATGCCTCTTAGTCGCATTTCTTCCCATGCTGCTTCTGCCTTCTCCACCAGCCACACAAGGGTGGGCGGACAGGAGGGTAGGTGGCAGTCAATGTAAGCCCAACACACAGTAAGCAAGCAATCATGCTCCGCCTTGCCATAGACGGTCATCATGGTGGTGTAAGCCTTGGCATCAGGGGTTATGCCTCTTAGTCGCATTTCCTCCCACGCCGCCTCGGCCTTCTCCACCTGCCACACAAGGGTGGGTCGGGGGGTGAGTGGATGAAAGGGTGAAAGAGTTATCATGGTGGTGTATGCCTTGGTGTCGGGGGTTATGCCTCGCAACCTCATCTCCTCCCATGCCGCCTCGGCTTTTTCCACCTGCCACACAGAAGGGCGGGTGGTTGGATGGGTTGGTGAAAGAATAGGCAGTAAATATGAGTCCAGTGCGCACAGTGACTAATCGCTCATGCCCCGCCTTGCCATAGACAGTCATCATGGTGGTGTATGCCTTGGTGTCAGGGATGCCTTGCAGTTGCATTTCCTCCCACACCACCATAGCCATTGATCCTCAAAGAAAGGAGATCAAGTCAGGAGCCGGCCATCCGCTCTATGCCTAAAAGGCCGCTTGATTGTGCACGTAAAAACGAACCCACTCAGCAACAAATGTTGAGACGTCTCAATAGAGTTTTGAGACTTCTCAAAACTCTATGCCTGAATGACCGCTTGATCATGCACGTAAAAAACGAACCCACTCAGCAACAAATCCGCACCGCACCTGCTTGCCCGCCCAAAAAACGAAAGCCGATCAGGCAGTATCCCACCCGCCTCCATGCGTGTGAACGCTCACTGGTAACAGAGAATCGATTATAAATAAACCAATACAAACCTTCTTGGCCCGCCCATAGGCGTTGATCTTCACAGAGAAGGAGATCAAATCAGGCAGTAACCCATCCGCCTCAATGCCTGTAAAAGCCCACTAGTTTAGTAACAGAGAATCGAAAATAATCAAACCCACACAAACCTGCTTCGCCCGCCCATAGGCGTTGATCTTCACAGAGAAAGAGATCAGATCTGGAGCTATCCCGTCCGCCTCCATGCCTGTGAACGCCCACTAGTAACAGAGAATCGGTAGTAAATAAACCCATACACAACTCCTTGGCTCGCCCATATGCGTTGATCTTCACAGAGAAGGAGATTAAATCCGGCGCTATCCCATCCGCCTCCATGCCAGTGAACGCCCACAATTAACAGTGAATCAGTATTGAATTACCAGAAAAACTTATACACACCTCCTTGGCCCGCCCATAAGCATTGATCTTCACAGAGAAGGAGATCAAATCCCCATGCGCCTCCATGCCAGTGAACGCCCACAAGTAACAGTGAATCGGTATTGAATTGACAGAGAAACTTATACACACCTCCTTGGCCCGCCCATAAGCATTGATCTTCACAGAGAACGAAATCAAATCTGGAGCTATCCCGTCCGCCTCCATGCCTGTGAACGCTCGCTCCATCTCCCCCAGCCGCCCGTCCTTGCCGAGCCTCTCCACCAGCTTCGTGTAGTCCCGAGCGTCAGCCTCGTACCATTCCTCCGATAGGGACCACTGCATGACCTGCGAGTGGGGTATGTGGGATCATGAGATGTGTGACACAGTGGTGTGGGTGGAGGGGGGAAGTGGGTAAAGGGAAAGGGGAAGCGGGAAGGGGGAAGGGGGGAAGGGGGAAGGGGGGAGGTGGGTGCGAGTAAAGGCAGGGCCAAGAAATCGTCAGCCTTGTACCATTCCTCTGATAGGGACCACTGCATGACCTGCAAGCGAAGCACGTAGGATTATGAGATGCGGACATAGGTGAAGGGGGGAATGGTGAAAGAAAGGGGACGGGAGGGAAGAAGGTGCGGGGTGGAAAGGGGAACGGGTAAGGGGGAAGGGGGGAGGAGGGTGTGAGTAAGGCAGGCCTAAGGGAGAGGCAGGCTCATGCCATTCCCCCGAGGGGGGCCACTGTATCACCTGCAAGGGACGGGGGCCATGAGTTGTGTGACATACAGGCGCGGGTGGAGGGGGGACGGGGGAAAGGGGGATGGGAGGGAGGTGGGTGTGAGAAACGCAGGCCTTGTACCATTCCTATGATAATGACACTGCATGACCTGCAGCAAGCCGAAATGACAAGGATTATGGCAATGCAAGGTGGACCAGGGAGAAAGGGGGTTTGTGGCGAAGTTGGGTGATTTTGAGAATTCTCAAAATCAACCTTTTGAAAAAGTTGGGAGGAGGGGGCCGGGGTGGGAGTCGGAGGGGAAAAGTGTGAGAGGCACAGCAGCTCCCTGGCATCTTTTGAGTCGACTCAAAACGAGGTGACTTTTGAGTCGACTCAAGAGTCGGAGGGGAAAGGTGTGAGAGGCACAGCAGCTCCCTGGCATCTTTTGAGTCGACTCAAAACGAGGTGACTTTTGAGTCGACTCAAGAGTCGGAGGGGAAAGGTGTGAGAGGCACAGCAGCTCCCTGGCATCCGCAGTGTCAGTCTCTTTGATCGTGTCAATCGAATCATGATAAATTCATCCTCGTTATTGTCAGACCCACCCACCTGGCACAGCAGCTCCCTGGTATCAGCCGTGTCCAAATCTATAATCGTGTCAATCAAATCACAATCATTTTTCCAGGTATCCTCGTTATTGTCAGACCCACCCACCTGGCACAGCAGCTCCCTAGTATCAGCCGTGTCCATCTCTTTGATCGTGTCAATCAAATCCCGGCGGTGCGGCCGCACGCCCTTCACCCAGCTGAGGGGATGGGGGGGGGGGGGTGGGCACAAACGCAGACATACACAAGAGGGACGGCAGGGGGGATGGGGGAAGGCAGGGGGAATGGGGGAAGGCAGGGGGGATGGGGAAAGGCAGGGGGAATGGGGGAAGGCAAGGCGATGGGAAAAGGCAGGGGGGATGGGGGGAGGCAGGATGGATGGGGAAGGCAGGGGGGATGGGGGACGGCGAAGCAACGCAAATACATCAACTGGCTTAGGAACGAAGAATTTAAGCGTACATGGCACACATTCACCTATATGCACCAAGAAATATGTGATATGTAGTTATGTATATAAAAAATTCGACTAATATCGTACTTTTCGAGCCTTTGATGCAGCTCATCCTCGTTAGCAGGCGGCTTCGTTTTCAGCTCCTTAATAAGCACCAGCGCCTTGCGTGTGACGCGTCCAGAGACTAGAGGACGCGCTTCCGGCCATTTCCGACGACGATGCGCCGTGCCGGCCGCTAGCGCCACTGGCGCCATGCCGGCCGCACGGACGATCACTGGAGACCATTGATTTTCTGTCTGGCAAACATCCAGCCGTCGATTTTGACATCTGCCTGATAGCTGTAGTTTTGAATCGGTAGCGAATCCGTCTTTGACGAAGCATGAATTGAGAGACGCTAGCGAGCTTCGCGTGAGAATGGCTGCGAGAGCTGGCATTTCGAAACGCGGCTTCTGAATAACGAGCGGAACGAGGCTACACCCGCAAACACGATTCGCAAGCAGCTGAGGGTCAGCGTATCGACGATTTTCGCAGCGTATCGACGATTTTCGCAGCGTATCGACGATTTTCGCAGCGTATCGACGATTTTCGCAACGACTGCTGCACTCGATAGCTTTCGAGACGTGTCAAAACAAGTCACGGGGTTCTAAGATTCCGTGAAAGGAGAACGGCGGCTAGATGCTTTATTGGCGATAGAATCACGGGTGGCGTCAACAAAGAGAGGAACAAACGAGAGGGGATTCGCAATGGCTCGTCTAAGGTCAGAGTTTATCGTCTTGCAATAGACGAGCTAAAGCGAATTCAGGGAGGGAAATGAGCAGACGAGCTGAAAAAAAGGATCGAGTGAAAGGTGAAGTGACTAATCTCGTGAGAAGGTGAAAATGAGGAGCGAGAGAGGTTAGGGGAAGATAATTTTGAAGCAAAGCATCTCACCGCACTGAACCGATTTATCGGGTGTTTTGGGATGATCAGGATTACGAAAATCAGCTACCCGAACTTTCTACGCCTCGCAACCAATCAGTGGCAAATTGGGATTATCCTGGTGTAACATCCAATCTAAGTCCACGTGGTAATAGTGAAAGAACATTCAAGGCTGAAATTATTATTTGAATCTCATATTCAGTACAGCAATGTTTTTCAGACTTTGCCAGCATCCTTGAGTGTAAGACACATCACAGCCAGATTTCATGCGCAACCTACACCTACAGCTAAACTACCCCTCCACAAGCTCATGCTACTCCACTCGAACAGGCCGGTTTCTTTTTGGTGCTTCTCCTGCCTTGCTGCTTCCGCTCCCAGACTCACCATCTTCCCCCTTTCCTACCCCCGCCTCCTCTCCCCCAGCACCACCACCACCCGTGCTCTCAATCCCACCAGCAGCACCGTCAGCATCATCGACTGATGTCTTGAGAATCTGCTCTGCTTGCACCTGCCGCCTCCCCTCCCTGCCCTCCTGCTTCGCCATCTGCTGCAGCACCGATGCTACCTCCTCCTCCAGCCGCCCCTCCGCTTTTAAACGAGCAACCTGCATTGTAATCACATAACAGTAATCACAGAGCAGTAATCAAAGAACAGTAACACCATATCAGTTGGACACATCTTCATGGAGCCTACGAGGTGACTTTAGTCGACTCAGAAGTCGACTCAGAAGTCCCCTTGGACACATCTTCATGGAGCCTATGCATCTAAAACATTTCGAGGCGGACTTTAACACACAACGCACATAAAAAACCTAGCCATTTTAACAACTACTTATGATGTCCCCATATTCCGTCCCCAAATAAACACCACCGAGCATACTCTTTTGCTGTACCAGCAGCTTTTGCTTGCTGTGCTACATTGTAGAACCTTGACTTACTGCATTGTATACACACTATAAGCAACCTCACACCTTCATGTTGATGCGTAAGAACACCTTATCAGACAGCACCTGAAAATGAAACCTAATACAACCTGAGTTCCATCAGTTCCCATCCCAACATCCCTCGTGCCACCCTCTCACGACCTCAACGGCAGCAGGGTGTGGAATGACATACAACATGTGAAGGTGCTCCTTCTTGTCCTTCTTTTATTCTTCTCTATTTCCCAGACCGTGCACCTCCGTCATGACATCTTCACATAGCTTGAATTGATGCGGATTATAACGATTGAATTGACACAGTTTATAATACACAAAGCATCCATATGCATGCACCATGTCAAGAGCCTCTCACCTCCTTCTTGGCGTCATTCCAGAGCTTGAACCGTAGCAACAGTCCCATGCCAATCCCTCTTCTGATTTGACTCAAACGTAACAACCCCACACCCACTCCCACTTTTGAGTCGACTCAAAAGCAACATCCCCACTCCCACCCGCACTATTGAGTTGACTCAAAAGCAACAGCCCCACCCCCACTCTCACTTTTGAGTCGACCCAAAAGCAGCAGCCCCACCCCCACTCTCACTTTTGAGTCGACCCAAAAGCAGCAACCCCACACCCACTCCCACTTTTGAGTCGACTCAAAAGCAGCAACCCCACACCCACTCCCACTTTTGAGTGGACTCGTAAATCGTTCCTCTCACCTCCTTCTTGGCGTCATTCCAGAGCTTGAACCGCAGCAACAGCCCCACCCCCACTCCCACTCCACCTGTGGCTACGGCTGCGAGAAAACAACAAAAGGAGACGGATGAATAACGAACAGAGGTGTTGGGAGAGGGATGGGGGAGGCGGGAGGGAACGGAAGGGGACAAGAGCGGAAGACGAATAATGAACACCCAGAGCGTACATTCTTTAAAATGACTCTGTTCACTCTATGGGACTCACCCACGTGTATACACCAGCAATTCACTCCACACGCGTTTGCAAAATAAACAAGCCTTTTGAACACCCAACTTTTTCTGAGATTTTAACCCTGATTGAACATCCCCAGTACACTCCACAACCCATGACATCACGTTTCTATAGTTCAAGTATAGTTTTCACAACTCAGACACTCCAAGAATCCTGAACTTTTCACCCACTCTCACACCCTGCAAGCCCTGCAATTCCTCGGCCCATCAAACTTATCCACTCTCACAGCCTACGAGCGTTCCAGGAAAAACCCACTGCAGCGACCATAAATCATCAACTTGATACAACTCACCTGCTCCCACACACTGCAAGCCCTGCATTACCTAATTGAGTCTTATCCATCTCACCTGATTGAACTACCTTCCAGCCACCTATCGCGGTTCCATGACTCTCACCCACTGCAGCGATCATACATCATCAAACTTGATACAACTCACCAACTCCTACAGCCTCCAAACCCCCTGCATTTCCTCGTCAAAATCGAGCTCACCAATTGAACTATCTGCTAGCTACCCATTACGGGTTCCATGACTCACACCCACTGCAGCGAAGCGACCATACATCATCAACTTGATACAACTCACCCACTCCTTGATCCATTCCCACGGCCTGTATATCCCTGCATTTCCTCGACTTATGAAACTCACACACGCCCACCCACAGTTGTTCCAGGGGTACGAACACTCACCCACTCCCCACTCTCTCTCTACAGTATAAGCGGAGGAGACACCCACCCGCGTGAGTACACGTGGCAGCACTCACCGACTCCCACGGCCTGTAGCACCGAGATCCAGTATGTGTCGTCCAAGCCCGCGCGAGCTGCCACGTGTCTCCTCCGCGCTGCCGTCAACGACGGCGACGATCGCGGCGAAAAATGCGGCGAACGCGCGCCGGAAAACGCTACTTGTCCGGGCTGGGCGGAGGAAACCAGGGGTGCGGCGACAAAATTCCCTGTCGAGCCGCACTTACGTGACGAAATCACGGCCGTTATTATCCTATCTTTCACCGCGCGTTGGACGGTGACAGCGTGGTCTATCGGTCGTCGATTTCTACAAGTGTCAAGCGATTGGCTGCCGAAAAAATCTGTCCGCAACGAGAATGCGGAAGGAGCTGCAGCGACTCCGACGTGGCATTTCATCGTGGCAATGGCGAGTGCCGCGTCGCACAAGGCTGGGCGGATGTAGCCTAGTTCAAGTATGTTTCGAGAATCGCCAATAGAGACTGAGCGACAAGACAGGAGTGCTTTACGCGACAGTCTCTACGACGAGGTGACGCTATGTGGGTCTTGGTGGAGACAAAACTAATGCAGGAAAAAGAAAGGCGTGTTGTATTTGCCGATACCCTACCGAACCGATGCAGATATCAGATTGACCGTTGTACAACGGGTAAAATCCCATTGAGCCGCAGTCGGACGAACTCGTGAGATACGAGGGTTTAAGAAAGCTAGATGTGAGGGGCAAAACTGGCAATCTCCATATTCAGAAGGCCTGCTCTCATTGAGAGTTGAACTCAAGACCTCCCGCTTACTAAACGGGTGCTCTAACCAACTGAGCTATGAGAGCTGCAGATTTGACCATAAGACAAAATTTGATCGCAGGTCTCAAGCAACGTTCAAGAACCTCGCGTTCAAAACTCTCTAGAAGATTCTGGATTCTATAAAATCCTCCATCTTCTTCGCCATTCCTCGTCTCTCATCACCATTTCCAAAGAGACCCCTGAACCTCGCGTGCCAAGCACCGTCCCGTTCTCTGCGCTGTAGCGAGCTGACCTGACCTGCTCGCCTCGACCCGCCGCCACCCACCATGGCGACGATGGAGAAGGTGCAGATCAGCGGCGACGGCGTCGAGGTAAGCCAAGCGATTTACTAATTATACTCGGGAGTGAATCTTGAGTCAGTCAGGCATTTGGGCATTTTTCCTATCCACTCGGTCGTGCACGCTTTAGGAAGGCCGAATTTTCGGATTGGTCCACGCTGTTTTTTTTATTTATTTATTTATTTTTGGGCGGTCGTGCGCGTATGTCCTGCAGACGTTCGACGCGTTCGTGGCGGGCGAGGAGGGCAAGCCCGGCGTGGTGGTGCTGCAGGAGTGGTGGGGCGTAGACTTCGAGGTCAAGAACCACGCTGTGAACCTCGCCGCCAAGGGATTCCGCACGCTCATCCCCGAGTGAGTGGCGAATAAACATGATGGCTGTAAATTCAAGTGATTCTCGTTTCAACTTGAGATGCGATTCCTGATCTGACGAAGCCAGATCGGATGTGTTCGACGAATACTGAGGTGTTTCTTGGTTGTGAATTTTTTTCGTTCCTTCGCCGTCGCAGCTTGTATGAGGGCAAGGTGGCTTTGCAGGCCGTGCAGCATTGTTAACCCTTGTCGCTTAATCTCCTTTCTTCCTTCTTCCCTGAATCTCTCCTTCGTTCGATTGCAG